CCTTCTCTGTGTGTTCCTTGGAGCTAGAGTAGAATGTCAGGTGGTAGAAATAAGCAGGTAGTATTTTCTATACCACTTAAATGTGACTTTTTCTGGTGGCACTATATGAGATGGGAGAGCAAATACTACAATCTTTTTTTTATTATTTCTCAGTTTACCTAAGCAAGGATTGTTTGTGTTAAGCCTTTCCCTATATATCAGTCTGCAAATATGAAGAAAATAGGGAGAACTAAATAGGAAAACAAAAAGGAATTAATAGAGATGGCATTGCTAATCACATTCTTAAAGGTTTTTTTTGTTAATCATTATTAGCTTGCCAAAACAATTTGCTACTTTGCTTATTACTATCTTTGTAGACATGTGTCAAAAATTTTCTTATTTGAGCTCTAAAAGTGTTTTAATGGCACTGAAAGTTCAGCTTTTACTCTTCAATGGCAGGCATCAGTACCTACAAGCACCACAGGCTCATTCTTCTTTTTGGTAGTTACCCCTTGTCATGTCACATGACCTGAATTTTCAGGGGGTCTGAAAACAGAGATGCATGCCTGTCAATGCTTGATGATGTTTAAATGAATTTTATGATGCAGTATGCTTAATTTAACTAGCTTTTAATTGACAATTACTATTTTGAAATGTATCATAATAAATATATTATAGTCTTAGGTACCACTTGGATAAAGAGAGCAGGTGGGGGATGGTGGTAAAAAAAAGTAAGCTGGGAAGGACACTGAGAGACACTGACAGTTTATTCTGAAAGATGAAGATAAAAATGAAAGTAAATAGAAAGTAGATAATTTCTGATTCTTTCCATACCTTGCAGATGGGACAAGATATAAATCCAAATGTTATCCTTGGACCAAGCCATCTGTTTTCCAAAACCCGTCGACAGCACTGTAAGTGGAATACATGACTACAGTCCAGCTTAAATAAAGAAAAGAGAAGAATATAAGCAAAGGTAACAGTGATAAACACCAGTAACTAGCAGATTATTCAATGTATACTGAAAGGAGATAAGAGAAAAAGCAAGCAATTTAGTACAATGATATTTTAGCACTTTCCCACTATTCATAGGACACTAACTAAGTCTTCAGGTGCTCCCAATATTTTAGCATACATATATTAATGCCACATTATAGAGAGTAAGCTGGGTTAGGAAAAATGCAAAATTACTCAATTCTGTATTTTATAAAAAGAAGAGGAAACTACTGACTTAGAGATTTAAGATTTTTTTTTGAGACTACTACCTTGGAATTACAAGAACTAGAAATATAAATAAGCAACCAGTAAAAGTATATAAAAGATATTTAGCAAATAGTAACGTCTATATTATTAATATGTATGTACATTATGTATGGAGGTATGTATCATTGCATCATTATGTACAGATCAGTTATATAATGCTATTAAGTATCATTCTGGATTGAAAATTAAGAAAAGAGTAGATATTGGATAATCTGTTTTTCATTCCTTATGAACATTTTATTGATTATGTAAATCACAAATTAAAGCTAAACACACAAAATGTAAACAGAATATTCTCTTTAATAAACTGGTAGGTATTAATGGGACATTTTCTCTCAATGACAATCTAGACACAATTAATACTTTAAAAGCTGAGACAACCTGAATGGCTGGTGCTGCCGAGAGTGCTTCAGTGAAACATATCATGCACATGTCATCAGCATCTTGCTTCAGTGTTGTGGCACTTTTATCACAGCCATGCAGACAGGGCAGACAATGCTCTTCGTTTTTCACACCTCCACATGGATGGCCACAAGGATGTGTCTTACTACAGGCTATCTTAGCATATTCCTATTAAAAATGAATTACAATGGCACACAAAATATAAAAAAAAGCACACATCCTAGTAATCATATCTAGTATAGTAGTTTTCCAATATATTTTTCCCACAGGAAATACATATTAAGGCTAAGTTACAATAAAGTGATTTTTATTCTTTGAGTATAATTTAGGATTATTAACAAAGTCTATTTTTGTTTTAATGTGATTTTAAAAATTTTCACTCCACATAAAGGGAATGCTGATTAAAAGTGAATTACAAATTTAATCTATTTGTTATTATGCATAGCCACAGATCAACAAAAAATTACTGCCTCACAATCTCCCCATCACCACCCACCCCCTGGCCAAAATGGGGATGAAATAAAATACAGGTATCTTTCACTATTTGGGCACTATCTAAATTCTTGTTAACTAAATTGAGGCATCACAAATATCTGGACAGCCCTGGCCAGTGTGGCTCAGTTGGTTGGAGCATCATCCCGTGCACCAAGGGTAGTGGGTTTGATTCCCAGTCAAGGGCACGTACAACCAAGCGATGTGTTTATCATTCATTCTCTCTCTCTCTCTCTCTCTCTCTCTCTCTCTCTCTCTCATCTTCCCTCACCCGCTTCCACTCTAAAATCAATGGAAAAAATATCCACGGGTGAGGATTAACAACAACAAAAAATTTTGCATAACATGAAATGTGTATAGATGTTTAAGACTAAAGAACTTTCAGGTACTGGAAATTTATTTTAGGAAAATAAGTGAGTAAAATATCTATGAGAGGCAAAGAAAATACAGCCCATAGATTTTTAAGTTTCTAGCACATAAGTAAATGTTAATTATATATACCGACGGTCGATGGGAAACACACACAAAAGGAATCTGGTTTGGGCTTGAGTGCTTTATTTGACCCATTTGCCAGCTTTGATAAAGCATTTAACTCATAACATGAGTACTACACTAATTTAGAACACAAATGATGCTGAGTTGGAACTCTTACTTATATGAAGTAAAGATGTCATGTGGGAATACATGCTCTCCTTACTGGGATACTCACCTGGCAGTCTGCATCAGAACAAACACTGCCAACAGCAGATAACTCTGTTCCACTTCTGGAACCACAGAAGCGGCATGCTTCTGAGCTACTTGTGGTGGGTTTGCCTAGGTTCAAGCAGAAAAAAAATCCCCCTGAAGAATATTTTCTACATATTTTAATATAACTCATTAAAAACAAACAAGCAAACCAGGTTTGTGTCAGTTGTCATCACTGGGAAATCAGTCTGGCAATTACAAGCCGAAGGGTTGTAAGCTACACTAATTACAAATTATACAAGAAAAGGGATAAAAAACTGAAAAGCTATACCTAAAGCCAAATAAATTAACTGATTCATTTATACTTTTTCAGTAAAAAGAAACAGACTAGACTTCTAGTCAAGATAGCAGGTTGAGCAGATATGGCAAGCCCCCCACTAAAAAAGCACAATACCAGACAAAATATAACACAAAAACTGAATAAAAGTATATAAAACAAAGGGAAATAAAGCTTTAAGTACCTTTCCACAATGGCAATATTAAAATTCATAGGAGAAAACCTCATCAGAGCATATGAAACTTAAAAAACAGAATTCCCACCCAAGGAAGTAGAGATAATAGAATAATTTGGAAAGAAATTTACATTTTGAAATAAAAAAGGAACAGACCCATAAAAACAAGAACAGAATAATATGAAAAAGAACAGGAAGATTGAAAAATATAGACAAAGATCATTTTATAAACACAGAAAAATTCAAAATATAATAGTAATACATTGAACTTAAAAATATCCTTTTTAGCCTGGCCGGTGTGGCTCAGTGGTTAAGTGTCAACCTATGAACCAAGAGCTCATGGTTTGATTCCCAGTCAGGGCACATGTCCAGGTTGTGGGCTCAATTCCCAGTGTGGGGCTTGCAGGAGGCAGCCAATCAATAATTCTCATCATTGCTATTTCTATCTCTCTCTCCCTCTCCCTTCCTCTCTGAAATCAATAAAAATATATTTTAAAAAATATTCTTTTAAAAAAAGGATAGTTTATATCATTAATACAATGATGGTTCAACATTAGAACATTTATTAATGTTATGTCATGGTAAGATTATAGGGAAAAAAATCAGCTCTAAGAAAAAAAGATGATGCTTTTATAGCATGAAAAGTTACTCCTACCTAGAGTTAAGTTTGTTCAGGTTTATACCTAATTCTAACATTCGGAATTCATGTTAGTCAAATGGCAGATGACAGAGGTACTGAAAATTGAGAATTTGTAAGATCTAATATAACTAAACTGGGAATATAGCAGACTTACTTTTTAAAAAATAAATCAAAATGAAAACCCACATGTTTTGGAGATAACTGGCTCAAGATTACATAACTAGTTAGTGGCAAACCAGGTTTCCTGACTTTTAGCATGATGCTCTTTCTACCATTGAACATTGTCTCATAAATATAATAATATAGACAGGGATCAATGACGTCATGATAATTACTTATCAGAATATACTCAATCACATTAAATAATTTTAAAGTAACATCTAGTTTAATTGTAACCAACAGGCATGGTTCAATCTTAAATCCTCTTTTACCTGTGTGTTCTCGGAATTCCACCATTGCTTTCATTGTTTTAGAATCTGCAAGTGCCATCAACCAGAACAATTTAGTTCGACCACAACCTTCATGAAGGTCAACCTTTATAGCTTCTTCTTCTTCTTTGAAGACCTATTATATCATTAAGAGAAGGGAAAATATATTTATTTATGATCCTGAAAGAGAAGTACAAATTTAATTATTCAATAATAATAATGGCTTTTATTAAGTAAGCATTCTAAAAAGTTCCATATATTTCCAATCTTCTCTTTAATCTTTACAACAGTTCTGTTTGTATAAATGTGGAAACTAAGTTTTAGAGATGTTAAACAACTTGCTTGATTTACACAGTTGGTAAGTGAAACAGCTGCTGTGATTCCCAAGTCCATTTTTTCTCATTACCCTAAGTCTTCCACAAAAGTTACTGAATACACTTTATGTTCTAGATACTGTTCTGTGTGTAAAGACAGAAATCTTCACCTGTCTTTGATGAGTTTTGGTTCGTCGATGAAGATGAAGGAATCTGTCACAGTCAGTACATAGATTTCCACATACGTTGCATAAAATGATTGCTGCAGTTTCACCATCATCATGGTTATCACACATAGGCTAAAATAAAACATTTCCACAGGTTACATTAGATTAATAAGAAAGTATCAATATTCACACAAATTGAATGTAATTTATTTTTACCAGTAACAGTAACTGAAGTCTATTAAGAATTTGGAATCTGAACATTAAACTGAATGATGGCAAGTGTATTAAATTATAAAATTTCCTCAAAGGCCTAAATCAATGATTAATAAAATAAATAGTATATTTTGCTTAGTGATTGAGAAAATTTCTCCCCATTATATTCAAACATTCATTTTTGAAACTTTAACCATTAATAAGAAAGTGCTGAAAGAGCCATATAAAGTCTTCTTTCAGTGAATGAAACGATAAATATCCAACCTACTTTAAGCACATATCTGAAGAAATGGTATGTCATATTGCCTCTCTTACTGCTTTTTCTCCTTGCCATAAGATTGATTACATTTTACTACAAAAATTGAGATATGAAATCAAAGTCTGGCTAAAAACAAATTTTGATACTATGCAGACATGTCTCAGAGAAGGGGAAAGCTCTTTTGTATACCTAAAGCCCCTAATCTATAATAATAAAAGTGTAATATGCTAATTAGACTGGACATCCTTCTGGACGACCTTCCGAACGAAGGGGGGCTGTGAGGGAAGCCCAGGTCTTGGGTGCCTGCTGGTGGCTGGGGGGAAGCCCCAGTCCTGGGTGCTGGTAGCTGGAGGGAAGCCAGGGTTCTGGGTGCCAGAAGAAGCCCAGGTCCTGGGTGCCAGATGGAAGCCGGTGCTGGCAGCTGCGGGGGAAAGGAAGACCTATCCTTGCACGAATTTCGTGCATCGGGCCCCTAATATACTATAAAGAAGGAACCCTTGTGAGATGAACTTTGGCAATGTGACACAATTTTTCAAGAGTTTCACTAATTATGTATTTTGACTTGTAGTACTTTTTTTTTTAAAGCTAAGCTACCGCTGACTATAAAGAAAAACAAGATCATTTTATATAAGATAATTTTCATCTTACCATTTGTTTTTGTTGTCCATCCTTTCCCATCCATCTCCCCGAGGAGAGACGATCTACATGGTCCTGGTCAAGAACACACAGTGATGCTAGAGCAAGCCAGAGCTGTTGAAAGGAAAGGCTGTTACACTACTGAATACTTAGGAAAGACTTATAAAATGTTGACTGTCTGACACATGATAATAGTTTAATAAATTCCAGCTGTATCTGAAGATATGTAAATACCCAGTGGTACTCAAAATTTCCTGATGTGGCATCAGACACGTACACGATTGCTGTATGTGCCATGCACATAGTATTCACTCAAATATTTATTGAATAAATGTTCCTCTGATTAAGCACTCTATTTCCTGCCTGATATATAAAATTATCCTTTACTAGAGGCCTGGTGCACGAAATTCATGCACTGGGGGGGGGGGGGGGCGCGAGGGGATCCCTCAGCCTGGCCTGCACCCTCTCGAAGTCCGGGAGCCCTCAGGGGATGAACTACATCCTTAGTGCTGCCGGAGAGGCGGGAGAGGCTCCTGCCATTGCCGCTGTGCTCGCCAGCCATGAGCCCGGCTCCTGGCTGAGCAGCGCTCCCCTTGTGGGAGTGCACTAACCACCAGGGAGCAGCTCCCACGTTGAGCCTCTGCCCCCTGGTGGTCAGTGCTCATCATAGTGACTGGTCATTCTGCCATTCGGTCAATTTGCATATTAGCCTTTTATTATGTAGGATTGGGCTACTACAAAAATAATATAGCAATATATGAATTTTCATATTTAATATTCCAATGACTCCTGCAAATTTCTCCATCCATTATCATTTGCCAGAGACATTAAATTCCAAGGAAGGTGGTACAATGGATGTTTAATTTTGTAGAGTCCCATGAGTAGTTGGGTTCATATTAAATTCTTGTAGGTAATAACAGTTACTCGCAAGTCTCTGTATGCTCCTAATCACCTAGCACTATGCTTGGTGCACTTTGTCAGAAATAAGTAAATGTCTAACAAATAAAGCAAGTGTTTAACAACTCTAGAAAATTGCCCTAAAAAATAGTTCAACACTTTCTGAGGCTTAAAGAATAAGTTTCAGTTTTACATAGAATTAAATATTTCTTCATTACTGAAAAAAAATAATTTAACTGTCTTAACTCAGAAGTATATGGGAGTGTCACTGGATATGAAGAGTAAGAGGGGAAAAATTAGGGAAAGAAAAGCCAGAAAATTAAAATAAAATATGCTAAAAAAAAGGGGGCACAGAATAAAGAGAAGAACACATGCAGGGTGGGTAAGGATTAGTCAGAATAACTGCTTCAGGAGAACCAAGATGGTAGTGAAGTCAAACACCTGTACTCGCTGCCTCCCACAGCCACATCAAAATTACAACTAAAATAGAGAACAACCATCATCCAGAACTGCCTGAAAGCTGGCTGAATGGAAGCCCTACATCTAGAGGAGTAAAAAAGAAAGACTGAGACTCGTAGGAGGTGCGGAGGCATGGAATGGGCTGGTCCGGTACCCACGTGTGCCACCTTTTTAATCAGGAGAGAGCGAGCATATCCTTTGTGTTATCTTCCTGCTTCCATGAATTTTGAAAGGTGCTTTAATTTAATTTTAAGAGTGAGACAGAGGTCTCATTTTTTCCCATACTATAAAAGCTTTTTAGCCGAAACCGGTTTGGCTCAGTGGATAGAGCGTCGGCCTGCGGACTGAAGGGTCCCAGGTTCGATTCTGGTCAAGGGCATGTGCCTGGGTTGCGGGCGCATCCCCAGTGGGAGATGTGCAGGAGGCAGCTGATCGATATTTCTCTCTCATCGATGTTTCTAGCTCTCTATCTCTCTCCCTTCCTCTCTGTAAAAAATCAATAAAATATATTAAAAAAAATAAAAATAAAATAAAAGCTTTTTAGATATTGGCAGAGAACCAAGATGGCAGCATAGGCAAATGCCTATACTCACTGCCTCCCACAGCCACATCAAAATTACAAGTAAAATACCGAACAACCATCATCCAGAACCACTTGAAAGCTGGCTGAATGGAAGTCCTACAACTAGAGAAGTAAAGAAAGCACACTGAGACTGGTAGGAGGTGCAGAGGCGCAGAACAGCCTGATCCGGCACCCATGTGGGCTGCTTTTTTAATTGGGAGGGAGATCGTTTCTGCAGAGGCCCCAGGGAGGAGCAAGTGTCCCAGCTCCACATGAGAATCCTAGCCCAGAGCTGGGAAAAGAAGTCCCTATGGGCAGTAAGAACTACAGGCTGTAAAAACCAGTGCACTTTGGGGCTGAGTGACACACAGGCTGCTGGAGACCCAGCTGCTCCTCTTAAAAGGCCGGCACCATGAACTGAATTTACAAGCTCCCGCTTCCTCTGAGCTCCAGTGCTGGGTGAGGCTCTGGGGGACCCAGACTCATACAAGGAGAAACTGGACTGTCTGGCATCCGGGCATGAACTCAAGGGCGGCTTTCTTCCAGATGGAGGTGCTCACAGAAGTCATTGTTCCTGGCTGCAGGACTGACTGGCAGCCATTTCTCTTTGCTCCGCCCTGGTGATTCCCTGAGACCCTGCCCCACCCAATTTACAACCCACCCAAACTGTGCCCAGCGCTTTTGCATATGAATGGCCTGTCCTTTCTTAGGCTAAAAACCTATCAAAAAATCTGCAGCTGGGTCAGGGAGCACCAAACCTATCAATAAAAAGGCCCAGCACCAGCAACAGCACCAGCCTGCCTTGCTTCACAGCTGGGACTCATCTGGGCACTTCCAAACCCGATACAAAGAGGAGGAATCTGCAGATCTCTCTGTAGCTCCTGCTGGGTGTCCCCAGGCAGTGGCTGACTTTGCACCTCCCTGGAGACCCAAGAGCCAGTGTACCCAGTGGTCAGTGTGAGACCATACCAGATTACAATTCTTCACATCCATAAGTGATACACTAAAGGGGCAGACTCTGTGAGCACCAAAGCCCCATTGAAGCAAGTTCTGCCCCAAAAGGATGTCTCCTGCACAGCAGCTCTCCCACTGAAGTCACAGCTGGTCCCCACAGCTAATTGGCCTGGAGGTCAAGGCTCAACTACAACAAGATTGTGCACATAGCCCACAAAGTGGTGCACCTAGAGTGTCCACCTCAGGTGATTGGGGAGGCTGAACCACTGGGCTTTATAGAACACTTAGCACACAAAGCCACTCTATCAACTCAAGGAGACTTAGCAGCTCTACCCAATACATAGAAACAAATACAGGGAAGCAAACAAAATGCGGAGACAAAGAAACATGTCACAAAAGAAAGAAATGAAGAAAGCAAACTACTGGATATGGAGTTCAAAACCAGAGTTATAAAGTTACTCAAGAATCTTCTAGAAACCTCCAAGGGACTAAGTGAGACTTTCAAGGATCTAGTGAGAAAGCCAAAAAAATGGAAAAGCATACACTGACTGACATAAAGAATAATATACAAGGATTCAACAATAGACTAGAGGATCCTGGGAATCAAATTAATGATTTGAAATATGAGGAAGCAAAAAATACCCAACCAGAAGAGCAAAAAGAATCCAAAAATATGAAGATAGTTGTAAGGAGCCTCTGGGACAACTTCAAGCATACCAAGCATCCGAATTATGGAAGTACCAGAAGAAGAGAGAGAGAGAGAGAGAGAGCAAGATATTGAAAACCTTTTGAAGAAATAATGATAGGAAACTTCCCCTACATGGTGAAAGAAATAGACTTACAAATCCAGGAAGCACAGAGAATCCCAAACAAGAGAAACCCAAAGAGGACCACACCAAGACACATCATACTTAAAATGCCAAGGGGAAAAGACAAAGAGAGAATCTTAAAAGCAGCTAGAGAAAAGTAGTTACCTACAAGGAAGTGCCCATACAACTGTCAGTTGATTTCTCAAAAAAAACTATGCGGAGCAGAAGGGAGTGGCAAGAAATATTCAAAGTGATGAATAGCAAGAACCTACAACCAAGATTATTCTAGCCAGCAAAGCTATCATTTAGAATTGGAGGTCAGATAAAGAACTTCACAGACAAGAAAAAGCTAAAGAAGTTCATCACCACCAAACCAGTATTATATGAAATGCTGAAGGGTATTCTTTAAGAAGAGAAGAAAGAAGAAAAAGGTAAAGATAAAAAATATGAACAACAAAGTGGTAACAAATATATACCTATCAACAATTGAATCTAAAAATCAAACGAATAAAAAATCTGATGAAAAGGATAAACTGGTGAATGGAATAGAACCAAGGGCATGGAAATGGAACAGATTGACAATACTTAGAGGGAAGGGGGAGAGAAGGGCGGTGGGAAGAGATTAGACAAAGATCTTTTATACATGTAGGCATTACCTATGGATACAGACAATAGGGTGGTGAGGGCCTAAGGCTGGGTGGAAACTGGGTGGAGGGGAGCTATGGGGGGGGGAAAAAGAGGGACATCTGTAATAATCTCAACAGTAAAGATTAAGTTAAAAAAAAACTTAAAAAAAAAAAGAATAAGTGCTTCAGATGCCACACTCACTAGCAACATAGCCCAAATTGGTTTTTTTCTGCCCTAGGGAAATATAATTTATCTTCTTTTTCAGACTTCTGAGAATTAACTTAAGCACTATCCATCAGTGTTTACTTCTTCCCAATGCTGTCACATTGCCCTGCTTCAAGATCTCAAATCTCTTTTGGAAGCACATGGGACATGAAATTTGGTAGGTTACAAATTCCTGCAGATGTCTCATCTGAAGAATGCAATCCTACTCTCTAAAACATGCATGTCAAATTTGTCGGCCCACAATGAATATTTTTTTTCCCAGCCAATATAATGATGTGTAAGAAACGTTTTAATAAAAATTTTGTAACTTAAATTTTACAATATCCTGTTATACATAATCCTATATAATAAAAGGCTAATATGCAAATCGACTGAACGGCGGAACGACCGGTCACTATGACACGCACTGACCACCAAGGGGCAGATGCTCAACGCAAGACCTACCCCCTCGTGGTCAAAGTGCTCCCACAGGGGGAATGCCGTTCAGCCAGAAGCCCTGAGCCGGGCTCACGCTGGCGAGTGCAGCGGTGGTGGCAGAAGCCTCTCCTGCCTCGCAGCAACGCTAAGAATGTCTGACTGCCAGCTTAGGTCCGCTATCTAAGCCATCAGTCAGACATCCCCTGAAGGCTCCCAGACTGCTAGAGGGCACAGGCCGGGCTGAGGGGACCACCCCAGAGCACGAATTTCATGCACCGGGCCTCTAGTTAATAATGACTACAACATTCGTTAATGACTGATTACTGTAATCGTGTTGCATTCATTTCCCTTATGCGCAGGCGCACCATTTCTCTCCACTAATACTAGCAGTGAATATTTTAGCAGCCGATTGCCACGTCATTAGTCTTGTACTGACTTGTTTGGTGTGTGCAACAGAAAATATTTCACTTCAGAGAACAAGAAAAATAGGTTTATGTGCATTACACTTATTAATTTGTGCAGTTATTGAGTGTCTGATAAGTTAACGTTCAAGAAAAAATATTAATTTTTATTAAAATGTTCTATTATTTTATGTTAACGATTACTCATTTATTTCAGCCCTTTGTATTCAGCACACCTCTATCAAAATAAACCTACGTTTCTATGAAAATTTAAGCTTTTGTTTTTTTTGCAGCACACATAAACTTAAACCTTGTTCATTTGGCCTGTGTTAGCCTTTGAGTTTGACATGCTTGCTCTAAAAGATTCTGCCCTACCCCACTGCAGGCACAAATTTTTTGCTTTTTAAAAAAGCAAGGCCTGTACATTCAGTGAGTATGCTATAGGGCTCTACTTTTGGACAACTGGGCCATACCAAAAGTAATAGGGAGGACCTTGTCTTCAAAGGACCTCAGTGTATCACAGCATAATGCCGACACTAAACTTACTGTGTAAGCTATGGTAAATACACCATTAAAAAGATAATATAGTGACATATATGGAAAGTTAGCCCTTTCTAACCAGTATATCCTGAGTTTCCATAATTGATAACAAAAACAAGTGATAAAGAACACGTAACAGGGAATATTAATAACCACAATACTTATTTCATAATTCAAAAAAACTTCATGCTTTTTAAATAAATATTTGGTAAAAATAATAGCTGACCTATTAATTCAAACCTATTACTGAAAAAAAAGAACATGCAAGGATATAGACCAAATGAAAAAAACCTACCCTAGTTGTTGCAATACATCTCACTGGAGATCTAAATTCTTCCTCCATCTTGGTCAAGGCAATGATGGTTTCTGCAATGGCATTTTTTGTCACTCGGGACCATGCTTCGGAGAGATGACCCTATTGAGCAGGACACAATAATTTAACAAGCAACCAGAAATGTATAGTCATAGTATCAAATTCTACTCTCTGAAATAACATCTCTCACCCATAAGGAAAGATTTATTAATGGAATTTTAATCAAGGGGCATAGTTTTGAAATAAAAATTTTTCAACACCCTCTAAAAAATTGAACTTCTAATCACTATTTTGATAATACAAAATCAAAGTAAATAAATTAGGTTCTCAATACTCTATAGAGTTCAAGGGTATTTCCTTTTACATTTTGATAAATATATAACAGAAGTACTAAGGTTTCTATGCTTGAGAAAATTTGATTATGAAACATTGTTGCTTAACATGAAATTTATACAGCTAATTGCTTTAGATGAGAATTACTGGAACCCAAGAGCATAAATGGGTTCAAATTACAACTACCTTAATTTTCTAACTTGATTTTTACCAATCACCATCACTTTTTAATTTCTATAGAATTTAGATGTTCCTAAACAGTTTTCCTAAATATTTCCATCTAGTGAACCTACTGAGAAAGCCTATTTGAGAACTGAAACAATTCTCCATTTCTCTGATTGAGGAAATGTCCATCTGTTGGAAAAGTGATAGGATTTTATATTTCCCCAGAATAACTTTTCTTATCTCATATCCATGTTCTATCAGTCTTTTAAGGAGCAGTTCAAATTTCTCCTCCTTCAAAATGGCCTGCCATCTATTCTACCTCTTAGGAATCTATAATCTGAGTATCTTGCCCTCCTCTGGCTGGACTCCTGGATATAATGGAATGTAAGTGAACTAACGTTATGGAGCACCCAGAAAGAGCAAGGCACTCTGATAAGTAATTCCCTTTTCTCCACACTCCCAGATCTTCCCACAAAGCCAACATCTAAAGATAGTGGTGTCGGACATTAATAAAGAAGAGTAGACTGGCTGGTGTGGCTCAGTGGATTGAGTGTTGTCCTATGCACCAAGAAAGAGGTTGCTGGTTCTAGTCCTGGTCAGGGCACATGCCCGGGTTGTAGGCTCTGTCCCCAGAAGGGGGCATGCAGGAAGCAGCTGATGGATGTTTCTCTCTCCTCGATGTTTCTATCTCTCTTTCTCTCCCTTTACCTTCCTCTCTAAAATCAATAAAAACATATTAAAAAAATAGTACAATTTTTATAAACCATGAAAACTGAAGAGGAGAAATGTCCACTTTGAGAACCCATTTTTTCCTTTTTGTTTCAGAATCAGGCTAATTTGGGGGGTTCAAAGAATATATATATATATATATATATTTTTATTGTTTTAAAGTCTTGGAAGACTTATGTTACAATTCTCACGTAAATGAACTGGGAAGCTTGAAATGAACGTAATTTACACAACGGACAAATTTATAACTAAAAGATAAATGGTAAAAGGGTTAACCTATTAAACAGAGCCTCTAAGTAAACCAAAATAATACTAATGTACTTCTCCTATTCATTCAGTAGAATAAGCTGCTTGTTTTGTTAGTAAGATTTCTACTGCATTTCATTGACAATGATCAGGAGGATGGGAACTTACTGCTGCCATATCCTTAATAAGTTTAATGATAATCTCTGAGATCTGAGTAGGAGTTGAGCCCTTCATCCACCAATGACTTTCACCTCGTCGAATATAACTACAAAGAAAAGTCAGCATTTGCAAACCAGTCAGTGATAGTTACAGATGAATTAGATAAAAGCTGTTATTTCAATATGTAGCATTTTAATTCTTTAAATGATACAGTCAACTAAACCCTTTTTAAAGAATATTAATCAACACATTACCCATTATCTGTGTCTTCAACATCAAGAGACTAGCTATTCTAATATGTGCTCCCTTTGAAATATTTTTTTATATATTATTTGTGTATGCATCTTCTAGAACAGTGCTATTCAATGTATATCCATAGTCCACACACTCTTTGTCCACAGAGATAATAAAGAGTTTGCACAAGAATATGTCAACTATATCACTGAGTAAACTACTGTTGAGTTCAGCTGGCATTTTTTTCCTTAGCAAGACTATGGAGATAAAGGAAGCAATATGCTGATTTACATTCTGATGTTTTTTGCTTAATATCATGGATCATCTCTTTTACTAGCATGTTCCCAATTTTCTGCTGTAAAATACATTTCTGGAATAAACACTCTTGTATATCTGTGCACATGTATGGACACCTCTGATGGAAACAACTGTAGAAGTAGAATTGGTAGGTCAAAAGACATGCATATTATAAATATAGTGATATGCTATCAAACTGATATCCAAAAAAACTGTAGCAATCTACATTACATATAATAAAAAATGCCTATTTCTTAATAATGCTGCCAATGCAAAGATATTCTCTATTGTTTTATCTATATTTCTCTGATTACCAGTGAAGTGTCTTTTCATTTGTTCCCTGGCATTTGTAATTTTTCTTCTCTGAATTTACTTTTCTTGTCATTTATCAGTTGTCTTTTTCTCAATGATTTGTACTCATTCTTCTAATATTATGCCTAATAATTCATTGTCCACTACATAAATGTTAAATATTTTTTCCAAGTCAGTTGCTTGTATTTTAAAGTACTGTCTATCAATTAATTTCCATTTTTATGTAGTCAAATCTGTGAATCTTTTCCTCTCTGACTTTTGGGTTCTGTGTTTTGTTTAAAGTTTTCCCAAATTGGAGATTACAAACATATTCTTCTATGATTTGTCCTTGTAGAATTTTAAAAGAAATATATATATAAAGCTTTAATTAATCTTGTTTATTTTTGTATATGGTGTGAGGTAAGGGCCTATAATTATTTTTCTACATGGGAAAAATATATTTAGCAGACTCTTTTCCCCCACTAATCCCCAAATGATTTTTATTATATACAGCATTCTTTATTATACATGGGTCAGTATATATGGTGTTTATTTGGTGAATAAGAAAATAAGGTAGAATTTGATATCATGTCTGAATTCTCCAAACAGTAGCTCATTCTGTTCTAGTTTAGTATAAAGCAGCCATAATGACCAACCTGGAATTGAAAATCATTGGAAGGGTAACTGTTGTAACTCCTTTGCCCACGGTGGTTCCAGCTGTTCCTGTGATGGTGGTTCCTTTGGCTTTGAGCTGTACTGTGAGGGCTTTGGCAATGCATCCTAGAAACATGTCCAAAATACCTAGCTTATTCCAATCTCCTTTCTCTGTTGAGTGAATGATATCACTGATATCTGCTGGGGGGAGAGATTTCACTCCTATGATGCTGGCCAGACGATTAGGCGTCACTTCAGGCAAAACTCGCCTTAATAAGGAGGTCACCTGGTAAGAAAAATAAAAGGAAAGAATTCCATTTAAAGATTGGTGTTTTAAAGTTTTCAACTTTTTAAATGAACACAGCTGCCATTCTATGACTTCAAATATTTGAGAAGCAAAGAAATATGATTTAAACACTATTTAAAAAAAATTTCCCAGATGGTAATTACCACTTCAGGGCAGCAAGAAAAAAGATGTCTTTTATTTGGTTAGGATAAAGGGAAAATTTAATTATAGATTTCAGGGTAATAAGAAACTCATAGCCAGAACACTCTTATCACAACAGCACATCAGTAAAATAAACTGTATTTTCCTCTTCTGTATTCTCATCACAATGAGTCAAAAATAAAAAGCATGGAGTTAAAATACATTCCAAAAACCTAAAACATAACAAAATAAAACAAAATTGATAAAGTTCTATACTTTACTAGTTTAATTTTTAACAATGTTTCAAGAAAATAATACAAAAGGGTAGTGGTACGATCAGTCACCTGTCTCTGGACTCGAGGGGATGCTGTGTGGAGCAGTGAGAAGAGATCCTGGAGCAGAGTTAGCTGCTGAGCCAGATACTGCCGGCCCACATTAGAGCCACTCAATGCTAAAACCATAGAAAGCAGCTCAAAGCAGTAAGCATCAGAGGAGGCATCTTCATCACTGGGCTGAGAATTGGCATTTTCTTTGCTTGATATGGCATGTTCCCATTCTTCACGAACTCTGGTGGCTTCCATGCGAATAGCCTGGACTATGTGAGCACATACCTATTTAAAAGGTGACATAGCAACATAAGGAAAACATAAAAACATATTTGTAAGTTTGATTTACTACTCTTAGTTTTTTTTATAAAAAGACAAGAATATAGTTGATACCCAATACTCTTCCTCCCAGTTAATTCTACATCATACCATTCTCTCAACTCGTCTTAAAAAACAATTTTTTAAAAAACTAGGGGAACCATGATTAAAAATCTGAATATCTAAATCAACTGATATGTAGAATTTACTTAATCTACTTATATACAAGCTACCAATGCCCCTGCCTATAGTTTAAGATAGAGATTTTCAACTGGTGCTTCAAGAATTTTTAAAACATGCAATACCTGACTATTTAGTCAGGGGCACTGACCTCTTTTCCCTTAGATTGCCAAATAAAAACATAACAGCCAACACAACAAGAGCTGGTTGTTGTGAATAAATCAAAATTATACCTATTTTTTTGTTAGATCCTCAAATAATACATATTTTGGTGTGCCACAGAATTTTAGCAATTAATTTATGTATGCCACGAGATGAAAAGGTTGAAAATTGCTGGTTTAAGACATCAAACAAACATAAATTACCATATTTTATCACTTCTATCACCTCCATTATAACACTTAAATTCATAATGTATTTTATAATTAATGGCATTCACAACTTAATACGCAGCAAATTTTCTTTTTAAGTGATATATAAAATAACAGTACATTTTACAACTAAGATTCAACAAAAAGCTGTTAAAAAGAGATAAAGCACAAATTAAGTTGTCATTTATTTAATGGTATTTAAAGTTAAAATAATGGACTAATTTATTTTTAAAAAATATATTTTTATTGATTTCAGAGAGTAAAGGAGAGAGAGGGAGAGATAGAAATATCAATGATGAGAGAGAATCATGGATCTGCTGCCTTCTGCATGCCTCCCACAAGTGATCGAGCCCGGAACCCTGGCATGTGGCCTGACCAGGAATGAAACCATGACTCCCTGGTTCATAGGTCAACACTCAACTGCTAAGCTACACTGGCCGGGCAATAATGGGCTAATTTAAAACCAATATTTTACTTGACTTTTGAAGGGCTAATTTTTATGTTATTTGGGCACATTTGAACAATGTCATGGTACTTCCCAATCCTCTTACACCAGTGTAAAAATATTAACACTGGTTTAGTTAATATAATTGCTCAGCAAATTAAAAAGAAATCAATCAACAAACAAAAAAAGGTGGTTAAAGGAACACAAGACATGCAAATGAAATCTGATATAATTGGGCATTTGTCACCAAAATGAAATAATCTACCTGAAAATACATAACAAAGAGCAGCAAAGTAGGAAAGTTAACACGCAAAAGGAATCTTTAAAGTGATGCAGGTATACCAATATACTCTTTTCTCTCTAGAAAAAGGCAGATATATTCTGCAGGATCTATAAAAGAGTTAGCATAAGAAAGCCTTCATAGATTTTGGAAAACGATAAAAAACTGATAAAGACAATGAAATGGATCTGAACCAACCTGTTTTTGTAAGTTAGTCAGTTTACTCCTACTGAATATGATTCCAACCATATGTTCTTTCAGGTCAGCATCTGACGTTGCCTTTACATAGAAAAAGGAAAAAGAAAAAGCAAGCTCTGTGAATAAAACTTGTACATTTGACATTTTAAGGTATCAAAATAAAACATGTGGGACTACATCACACTAAAAAGCTTCTGCACAGCAAAGGAAACCATCAATAAAATGAAAAAGCAACCTAATGAATGGAAAAAAAATTGCTTATCATGTATCTGTTAAGGAACTAATCTCTAAAATATAACTCAATAGCAAAAAAACCAAACAACTGATTAAAAAATAAGGAGAAGATCTGAACAGACATTTTTCCAAAGAAGACATACAGATGATGACCAACAGGTACATGAAAAGGTGCTCTACATCACTAATCATCAGAGAAATACAAATCAAAACCACAAATGAGATGCCACCTCACACCTGTTAGAATGGGTATTATGAAAAAGACAAGAATAACAAGTGTTAGCAAGGATGTGGAGTAAAAGGAACCTTTATGCATCGTGTTGTTGGGAATGTAAATCGGATATATAAATATATTCTTATTTAATCTTTACAACAACCCCTAAGGTAAAATCTGATGTCCTGCCTATTTTACAGGTAAAGAAAACTGAGGCAACGCACTCTTTTGCTAAAGGCTCTTGAAGACATGAACAAAACTACCAACCATCTTGAATTAACTGATATTTATAGAACCCCATCAAAGAACAAAAACAGAGCTCATATTTTTTTCAAGTTCACATGGACATTCACTAAAATATATCATATTATGAGCCAGAAATAAAATTTTAACAATTTTCTTTTCTTTCTATTTATTTATTAAATATTTTTATTGATTTCAGAGAGGAAGGGAGATGGAGAGAGAGATAGAAACATCAATGGTGAGAGAGAATCATTGATCGGCTGCCTCCTGCACACTCCCTACTAGGGATCGAGCCTGCAACCTGGGCATGTGCCCTTGACCAGAATCAAACCTGGGACCCTTCAGTCTGCAGGTGGATGCTCTATCCACTAAGCCAAATCAGCTAAGGCTTAACAATTTTAAAAGGACCAAAATTATACAAAGTATATATTTTTATCACAATGGAATTAAACTAGAAATTAATATAGAAAGCTATGAGGGACATCCCCAAATATCTAGAAATTAAACAAAACACTTCTAAATATTTATCCAAGGGTCAAAGAAGAAATCAAAATGGGAGTCAGAAAATATTTTGAACTGAAAAAAATGAAAAAAAAAAAAAGCCAGACAAACACACACCACATTAAAATTGTGACACTGAACTAAAGCAGTGGTTAGAAGAAAAATCACAACATTACTTGAGAAAAGAAAGGTCTCTAGTCTATGCTCTATGTTTGGTTATTATAAAACTAGAAAAAAATCAAACCCAAAGTACACAGATGAAAAGAATAATAAAAGAAGATATACCACCACAGATTCTACTGATATTAAAGATAACCAGAGTATATAATGAACAACTTATGCCAATAAACTCAGCCTATTAGATGAAATGGACAAATTACATAAAGAACTACCATAGCCCCCCTCAAGAACAATAGATAACTGCAATAGCCTGTATCTATTAAAGAAAGTAAATTTGTAGAATAATTTTTTTGCTACTTAAAATACTAGCTAAATCATACAGAAACAAATGAGTTTTCTTATTTTTTAACATTCTTCATAATTTGTGGTTTTTAAAGTTAGCATTACTGAGATATAGTTCACACACCATACTATACCATGTCATTTGAAATGTGCAATCAATGGTTTATAGCATATTCACAGATATGTGCAATCCTCACCACAGTCAGTTTTCGAACACTCTGATCATCCCAAAAGAAACACTGTACCATTTAACAACCACTCCCCTAGTTTACCTTCTCGTTTACTAAAGAAAAATGAAATGCATATAAACTTATATTACATATCTATTAACAGCCATAATAATATATGGATTATTTTACTGAATGAAAGAAAATACAAAAAGAGAAATATGTGAAAATATCCATTATGACAAAATTTCTTAACAAGCCAGGAACAGAAGGAAATATCCTCAATCTGATTAAGAGCATTTATAAAAAAATCTATAGCTAACATCACACGTAATGGTGAAAGACTGAATGCTTTCCTTTTAAGATCCAGAGAAGGAAAAGATGTCTGATCCTAACACTTCTATTCAACATGGTACTGAAGCTCTTCAACATTCCAAAGACACAATAAAAATTTAAAGCATATAGATTGGAAAGGAAGACATAAAGCCAACTCTTACAGAGTACATGATTATCTATGAAGAAAATCTCAAAGGTTCCACAAAAAAGCAAGAATAAGTGGACTTAAGATCACAGGATGTAATTCAATATACAAAAGTCAACTATATGCTAGAAATGAACAACTGGAAAGCAAAAAGAAAACACCATTTACAATAGTATAAAAACCATAAAATGTTTAGGGAACAATTTAATAAGACCTATACACTGAACTACAGCACACTGCTGACAGAAATTGAATAAGATCCAAATAAATGGAGAGACTATATCATGCTTGTGGATAAAAGTACTCAATATTATTAAGATACCGATTCTCTCCAAATTGACTTATCAATCTGGTGCAATTTCAATCAATATACAAGAATATATTTTGGGGGGCAGGAGGGGAACTGAGAAACTAATTTTAAGCTTTATATGAATATGCAAAGGACCTAGAAAACAGCACTGAAAGAGAACCAGGTTGGAATTTGATTCCATGATTTTCTATATAGCTGCAGTAATCAAGACAGTCAGATGGTGGTGTAACATTACATATATATACTAGAGACCCGGTGCACAAAATTCGTGCATGGGTAGGGTCCCTAGGCCTGGTCGGCGATCAGGGCTGATCAGGGCCTTCTGGCTGCCGGCCAGGGCCTCCCTTCCCCGGCTGCCGGCTGGGGCCTTCCTTCGTTCTGTGCCGCCCCCTGGTGGTCAGTGCACGTCATAGCGAGTGATCAAACTCCCAGTCTCCCGGTTGAACTCCAGAGGGGACACTTTGCATATTAAGCTTTTATATATATTTAGAAGATATAAAATAGAGAATCCAGATAAATTAACTTAAAATGTATATAGTTCTAAATAAAATAACTAAAACTCTGTTTCTAGAAGAAAATATGGTAAAAATATTTGTGACTTTACATTTTAGGTTCGACACAAAAATCATGAGTCATTTAGAAAAAAAAATAGTGGACTTCATTAAATAGAACTTCTGCTCTCTGAAAGATAAGCTTCAGAGTAGGAGAAAATATTTGAACACACAGGATGTATAGCCTGAATATACTGAGATTTTATAACCCAATAATAATACAAATAACCCAATATAAAAACATGAGTGAAAGATCCAAACAGATGCTACACTAAAGTGGTTGACAAGGTCTAAGCATGAGATGAGGGGACTGACTACAAAGAAGCATGAGGAAAATTTTGGGAGTGATGTGCTTTAAAACTTGATTACAGTGATGATTTCACTGCTGTATACATATTGGTCAAAATTCATCAAATGATACAGTTGAAAAGGATAAAATTTTTCTGTGTAAACCTTACTTAAAAAAACTGATGTAAAATGATTCTCTTAGAAGTTGTTATTTCATAGGCATCCAACTGCTGGTATAATCTTTCCTATTCAATCGTAACAGCTCAATATATACTCTCCTATTAGGCCAGCCTCTCCAATGAACTCTTGGGCCCATTTCCCGATTAATCTAACTTTCATCCATTCTCTTTCAAGTCTAACTCATGTCCAATATTCTCCCAAGAAGCCTTCTCTGATCACTCCAGGGCACAATGGTCTATCTCAATGTACTCTGAAATCCTATCACAAGTGCAATTTTTTCACATATTTAATAAGTTATTTATATACTATATATAGTATCCTTGTTGATTTATTGGGGGCAAGGGCTTAATATTTAGGACAGAATGCAAGTGTTTTTGAGGCCAGTTCTCAAGGTGTTAAAGGATAGAACTGTCACTTGTTAAAATTCAGTTGGTTTAATGAGTAGTTACAGAGTCTTGTAGTCTTTAAAATAATATCTGCAAAAGATGCTGAAAGAAATGACCTGTTTATGAAATCTTATTTTTTTATAGACCCCTAATAGAAAAATGTGGGTGATTCAGAAGGCAGTGTTAAACTAGGTAAATCCTTTAAAGTATCTTTCAAAGGGCTGCCAAGATGGTTATTTGAAACATCTAAAGACACAAAAATAATGAGATTAATCAGAGTTGACTTCCCTTTTTGGAAACGAGTGAGGGTTTCCTCTTAGGTACAGTGCTTTTGACCAAATTAAGTAACACAACTGTATTTTAGAAGAAATTTCAAAAATAGTGCTAAGAACAGGTTATTCCAATAAAAATTTACTCAACACATGGGTGTTTATGCCATGGTGGATACAAAGACAAACAAGACATGTACTTGGTTTTTAAGAGACTATGATTCAGTAGAAGAAGAGATAAAACATGTATACAAATAAGCATAACAAGTGAGAAACCAAGAGACATATAGAGGTTACTAAGAAGTTTAGCAGAGGGAAACTATGTTGTGTTTGGGGGAAAGCATGAAGAAAGTTCATGGAGAAGACGATCTTTAGGCTATACTGTGAAGACAGAGAAAATGGAGGAAGAAGATGACTGATGGTATACTGCACAGTAAATGACTAAGTTAATTTTACAAATACTAACACTTGAATACAACAGCCCAAAGTATAGAGTAAATTTTGTTGCTACTTAAAATACTAGCTAGATCACACATGAATAATGAATTTCTTTTGACAGTTTCTTTATCTTCTAATTAAAGTAACAAATATGAACTGCACATAAACTAATTATTACATATCTATTTAAATACATAACAATACATGGATTACTTCACTGAACAAAAGAAAATGAAAAAGGGAAATAAAAATATTTTTAGAATACAAATAAATACATTGTATACTTTTTCCTCTCCTTCAGGTGATGACAACAGTGCTTTTTCCTCTTGTTCAGGGGTGGGTTCAGCATCTCCAGAGATGAGTTTTCCAAATACCTGATGAAGAAGACAAGGGTATGAGAAGAAATTAATGGCAGGAATTACCACGGTGAAAGGTAGAAGACTCATCAGCTGATTGTGTGCAGGCTTTATTAATATTACCATGTTGTTCCTGCTCTACACCACTGCTTTTCAGAATTATGAAGGTAAAGTGAAATACAGGAGTTTAGGGCTATGACACGAAAAATGGGCCACATTTGTAGCCAGCAATCTCTAGTAAGTTCTACAAAATATTTTGTCAACCCTCTTGATATTATTGTTGAAATAATATATCCTGTGCTGGAATTCGTAGTGAGGACACTCACCTGTGATGTGATGAGTCTGAACACTCGCAGAGTCTCAGCTTCACAGTTCCTCTGCTGGGCTACACTGGCTGAAATCTGGCCAGCAATTTTTGTGCTTTCGCCATCCTTCCAGCCCAAGACCTTTACTTGTCGAACTCTCAGTGTATTTTCTGGGCCCTTTAATTCAATTTTGATGATGTGATTATCCCCTCCTGGAAGTTCACTTGTTATCCAACCAATGTGCCTGGAATCCAGATCAACCTGGCAGAGCAGAAAGGGCACAGAAACCTGACACAGCTGTATCACTTTTTATCACTGTCCTAGACTTAGCACCAATAACAGCACAAATACACATAATTGTATCCAGAGTAAAGTTTTCTAGGTAATTTCACACTGATTATCTTATTTAAACTTTGTCAGGATAAGTAATACTACAGTAGCTATTATACAGATGAAGAAAGTAAGTTAACACAAGTAGAAGGATTGTCACTAAGGGATGGAGTTGAGAATTAAAATGCACAAGTTACAGAAGTGAAACCATTACACACAATTTATATGACTGTACTTTATCTATATTGACCATAAGTAGAAACACTCACAACAAGGTTCTGTTTTGTGCATTTTCACATTAAATCCATTTAAAGATAAGCATTTTGATATGCAGTTATCTATGTTTTACTTTTTAAAAAAATTATATAATAAGTAACTTCATATTTGTGATGATTTTACAACTAGAGGCCTGGTGCACGAATTCGTGCATGGGTGCAGTCCAGCTGGCCTGCCCCAATGGGGGTCCATCAGGTGGGGCCGGCAGGGGGGAGGGGCTGTGGGCAGTTGGCCGGCCGGCCCCGGCCCCTATTGGGGTGTTGGGGGCCAATTGGGGGCCAGGCCAGCTGGGGGCGGGGTGTGGGGGTCCGGGGGACTGATCAGGGCCCGGATCTGGATCAGGATGGTTGGCTGCTGCAGTGCGCGTCATAGCCACCAGTCGTTCCACCATTCAGTCACTGGGCTTTTATATATATAGATATTTCATTGAGAATATAGCCTTTATTCAAAGATTAAATTTCAATGCACTGTGAAATGGTTTTTGACACTATTCACTTGATAAAATGAAAATTTTTCTTAGGGCATTTGACATACAAGAAATAATCCAAGATGTCTATATTACTTATATTATAGACATCTAATTTAATATAATTTTAATTGATGTCAATTTCCTAAAAAGAGCATTATGTATAAACAAACACTATCTCAATGAATAAGATTATTTCCCCAAATTCTTTTTTAAAAAATATGTTTTTATTGATTTTTAGAGAGAGGGAGGGAGAGGGAGAAACATCAATGATGAGAGAGAATCATCCATTGGCTGTCTCCTGCATGCCCCCTACTGGAGATAGAGCTCCAAACCCAGACATGTGCCCTGGCAGGGAATCGAACCGTGACCTTCTGGTTCATGGGTTGATGCTCAACCACTGAGTTACACCGTTTGGATTCCCCAAATTCTTTAACAATTTAAACAAAATTTATTGTTTGTTTAATCTAATCTTAATTCATTCTTTCAATATGATTAAAAACCAACAATAAATGGTCAGTGTCCATGGGACAAAGTAGCTATAGAAGAACAGCTCTGATAAAATTTCTCCCATCTGAGTTTATAATCTCAGATACATTCCCAGATAAAATCTAACCTGTTTCTAGAGTTGGTTTATAAATTGACTTGTAAACTGGATGTAGTTGCAATATTATAAGTGACAGATTTTTAGAGGACAACAACCTATGTTTTAACCTGAAGTGTAGGTGAATTCAGGTGTCAATTGTGAATCAAATCTATGATAAGTTAGGGCAGTAATGGGTACAATTTTAGTACATGGATGGTTGTAATTGTTCCTTTATATGGACCACTTGTCAATTTAGCATTTTTAAATAGATGATTTCTTATAATGCCAAAATTAGAACTCAACAGTGGAGACTGAGAAGAAATTTCTCCCTAGGTAGCAAAACATTTAATGACAAAATTTTAATTACCTGCTTTATTCTGCACAAATCTTCTACTGCTTTGCCAGTTAAGAAGGTCATTGAAGTAACTTTATTCTGAAATAGACAATTCAAATAGTTATTATGCCATATTCCTTTTCCAGAATTTTCAATGATTTCTTAAAGTCTACATCAACTTTTCTGTCTGTCTTTAATGGTCCTTCCCAACTAACCTCACTCCATTTGTCCAACCAACCATAATTTCTCACCTCCAGTAATTTCTTATTCTCACAAACTCTACCTTAAATCTCACATTTCAACCTTTCTCCATGAGCTCTGAGAGAGTTGCTTGCCATTCCCCCTTTTTACTCAAACTCTAAACACTTAAATTCTTTATCATGAAGGCTTTCAATAATTCTGCTTGTCACTCATGTCCCACTCTCTCTTTAAGTAAAAAGAAGGAAGGCTTAACTAATACTTGTGACTGTCACAATGTGCCTTTATGAACTTGGAGAAGGATATATGAGAATGATGGGTTCTATCCTCTGGAGACCCTTGCTAAACCAGAGAAGGAACATTAACACAAAAAATAAATGTCAAACAGTAGAAGTTCAATACTCTTTAGTGAAAAGAGTCATGCTGGCATTGGAGCCACAGACTTTAAGGTTAAATAAATTTTATGTAAAGTACATCAAGAAACAGATTAATATTACTTCCTTGGGGAACTGTACACTTTAAGTGCTATAAGCTGATGGAATTCAAATCAACATATGCTGGTCTATAAGGTACTCTGGTGGGCAGGCTGGGGGACACAGAAGTAAGTGAGCCTCAAGAATGTGTAACTTCGAGGAAATTTCTTAAAAGAAAAGCAGATGTCAGCTTACCTACTGAAACTTTTAAAAATGAAGAGTTAAGATGATCTCCTTTAAAAGGTGGACATTTCAAATTGATTAGAATCACTGTTCTGAGGGAGAATATTTCCTGGCTTAAAATGGACCATGAATCAAAGGTAAGTTTGTAGGAGAAACCAAGATGGCGGCATAGGTAAACACCAGAAATTGCTGCCTTGCACAACCACTTCAAAAATACAACTAAAAGACAAAACGGACATCATCCAGAACCACAGGAAGGCTGGTTGAGTGGAAATTCTACAACTAGAAGGAAAGAGAAAAGCACACTGAGACTCAGAGGAGGTGTGGAAGTAAAGTGCAGAGGTATGGAGGCACACATGGAAAGGGCTGGCAACTGAGGACACGGTTGTCTTTTTCAATTGGGAGTGAGACACATGCTCCCGCTCTGAACTCCGTTCGGGCGAGTCTCTGGGGACCCAGACTCATACGGGAGAAACTGGACTGTCTGGCATCGGTCTGAACTCAGGGGCAGCTTTCTCTCAGAGGTGCTTGCAGCGATTACTGCGGGACACTGAGAGGCGGGGCCTCTTAGGGTAGGACTGAGGAGCAGCCATAGCTGCTTGCTCTGCCCTGTTGATCCCCTGAGACCCCGCCCCACCCAAGCTGTGCACAGAGGCTTTTGCATATGAAAGGCCTGGCCCTTTGAATCTGAAAATTACCCAACAGACTCCATCTGGGTCAGAGAGACTGAGAACTTCCAAAAGAAGGCCCAAGGCCCCACAGCAGCTTGCATTGCTTCACAGCTGGGCCTCATCTGGGCACCTCCAAACCCCAACCAAAGAAGAGGAATCTGCAGATCTCTCCATAGCTCCTGCTGGATAGCCTCAGGCAGAGGCTAAATTAGCACCTCCTTAGAGATCCAAGAGCCAGTGTACCCAGTGGTCAGAGTGGGACCATCCAGATTACAACTCCTCAGATCCATAAGGGACACACTCAGGGGGCAGACTCAGTGAGAACCAAAGCTCCACTGAAGCAAGTCTTGCCCCAGAAGGGTATCTCCAGCACAGAAGTTCTCCCACTACAGACACAGCTGATTCTCACAGCCAATTGGCCTGGAGGTCAATTCCTCCCAGTGATACCTACAACAATCAAAGCTTAACTACAACGAGACTGTGCACAAAGCCCACAAAGGGGTGCACCAAGAGTGTCCACCTCAGGTAATTGGGGAGGCTGAGCCACTGGGCCCTATAGGGCACCTAGCACAGAAAGCCACTCTATCAACACAGGGAAACATAAAAAATGCGGAGACAAAAAAACAGGTCACATATGACAGAAATGGAGGAAAGCAAACTACAGGATATAGAGTTCAAAACCACACTTCTAAGGTTTTTCAAGAATTTTCTAGAAACCGCTGATAAGTTGAGTGAGACCCTCAAGAAATCTAGTGAGATCCTTGAGGATATGAAAAAGGATCAACTAGAAATTAAGCATACACTGACTGAAATAAAGAATATTATACAGAGTTCCAACAGCAGACTAGAGGATCGCAAGAATCAAGTAAAAGATTTGAAATACGAAGAACCAAGAAACACCCAACCGGAAAAAAAAAAAAGAAAAAAGAATCCAAAAATATGAAGATAGTGTAAGGAGCCTCTGGGACAACTTCAAGTGAACCAACATCCGAATTATGGGGGTGCCAGAAGAAGAGAGAGAACAAGATATTGAAAACATATTTGAAGAAATAATGACAGAAAACTTCCCCTACCTGGTGAAAGAAATAGACTTACAAGTCCAGGAAGCGCAGAGAACCCAAAACAAAAGGAATCCAAAGAGGACCACACCAAGACACATCATAATTAAAATGCCAAGAGCAAAAGACAAAGAGAGAATCTTAAAAGCAGCAAGAGAAAAAAAGTCAGTTACCTACAAGGGAGTACCCATACGACTGTCAGCTGATTTCTCAACAGAAACTATGCGGGGCAGAAGGGAGTGGCAAGAAATATTCAAAGTGATGAATAGCAAGAACCTACAACCAAGATTACTCTACCCAGCAAAGCTATCATTTAGAATTGGAGGTCAGATAAAGAACTTCACAGATAAGAAAAAGCTAAAGAAGTTCATCACCACCAAACCAGTATTATATGAAATGCTGAAAGGTATCCTTTAAGAAGAGGAAGAAGAAGAAAAAGGTAAAGATACAAATTATGAACAACAAATACACATCTATCAACAAGTGAATCTAAAAATCAAGTGAATAAATAATCTGATGAACAGAATAAACTGCTGAATATAATAGAATCAGGGGCATAGAAAGGGAATGGACTATTCTCAGGGGGGAAAGGGGTGTGGGGGTAAGGGAAGAGACTGGACAAAAATCGTACACCTATGGATGAGGACAGTGGGGGAGGTAAGGGCAGAGGGTGGGGTGGGAACTGGGTGGAGGGGAGCTATGGGGGGAAAAAAGAGGAACAACTGTAATAATCTAAACAATAAAGATTTAATTAAAAAAAAAACAAAAAAAAATAAAGATAAGTTTGAGTTCTAATCAGAAAAATGTATTGATTTATTACACTTGACCTTCTAGTAAGGTAAGTTCATGATATATTAGCTATGCCCCTTTTTCTTAGCCAGCTCCAGGGAAGAACTGAATCTGCACTGATGGACAGGCTTCGGAGTGGCTAAGAATGGCAAGGAGTGCTCTGACTTGCGTACTGGACTTCTGTGGTTGGCATATTCTATCCAGGTTCTCTGAGACCCAACCCCCTACTCTGGCTCTTCCTGGAAAAGGAAATATGCAAATAGATGGGAGCAGCTTGGTAATGATCCAAGGAGATTAACACTGTATCTGCTAACAAGCCACATCTATTTTTTGGGGAAAATAATTCTCAGAAATAACCTTCCTTAGGAATGGGGTTAGAAGTATGGGGATTTGGCAGTGGTTCTTAACACTCAAATAGGACTCTTTCCCCTTTGTTTAGTAATTTTTAAAAGTGTGCTTCACCCATTTGAAACATATGGACAGGCAGGGCTAGGTAAAGTATAAATCATGATTACTTGGGTTAGTACAGAAAGTCCCCTCACTCCCTCCATGACAGCTTGGGGTGAGGCTTAGGAATAGAAAACTGTGAAAGTATACTGGTAGGTCAAAATGTATTAAGTGCCATCAGAGTAATATACAAATAACTCAGAGAAAGGAAAGAGTAATTTTTATAGAGGAGGTGCTGGGAGAGGCTTTCTCTGCTGGGTCTAGAGATATGGAGGAAATGAGAGTGAGTTTAAGGGGATGACTTCAGGCCAAGGGACTAGCTAAAACAAGGGCACAGAGGTAGAAAAATATAGAGGAGACATTTATTTTGCTCAGATGTAGCCATGCTATATTTGTAATAAGACCTCTTTCTTGAAATGGTATTCCACAGCACCCCCAGTCATATTAATCTGTTGTTAGACTTACGGTTTCTTTGGTAAATACAAAATGCTGTGTGGTTGGTAAAGTTCCATCTTTTTGCTAAACTCAGAAATGAGAGTACATGATCACTAACTGTCTGAAAAGAACCAATGTGCCACAAATTAAATTCCTTTCTTACCCCAAGATCTCGGGAATTGTCCACGTGAACAGAAACATAGCGAGCGTTGATTCCTTTTACACAGTTAATGGTGATGTTCTTAGTTTTGTTTTTATCCTCATCTCCTGATTCCCAAAAGGTTTCTGTGGAACCATCTGTCAAACTGCCAATCATGGCAGGCCGGCTTGAAGTTTTTATGTCAACAATGCTGGTTAAGTCCTTTAAGCACATTACTATGCATAATTCCTACCAGAAACAATTATAAGTAATTATAATACTCAAATGGAAATCTCCCATGATAATAAAACAGACATGAAATAAGAAATAATACGCTGTTGTATAGAAACAGGATAATTGTTAAATGACTGACCTGACTCATAGCTTCAAAGCCAGATTGTATACTGATGCTAAAACTCTCTTCGCTATCTCCATCATCTGATTTTGACAAAATGTTGTTAATGTGATGAAATACATTGCTCTGATGGAGGAACTGGTGATCAGATTGCTTGAATTTCAGACTCCAGCATCTAAAAAGACATAAGCAATATATTAAATAATTCTTTTTCAGGAATTTCTAAGAAATCCTAACATTTTAAGAAATCGTAATGATCTAGGTAAAAATGGAAACTTAAAAACTTCAGGAAACAAAACATTAGTATTGGTGCTTTTATAAAGTAAAATTAATTTCTAAGAAAAAATGGGATAAGTTCTAAGGCAAGTTCACTCATTTTAAATATAGATAAACTAGAGGCCCGGTGCACGAAAATTCATGTACTCGGTGGGGGCAGGGGGTTTCCCTCAGCCCGGCCTGTGCCCTCTTGCAATCCGGGTCCCCTAGAGGGATGTCCAACTGATAGCTTAAGCCTACTGCCTGGGGGGACCAGGCCCAAGCAGGCAGTCAGACATCCCTCTGACAGCCTAGGGGGAGCAGGCCTAAGCTGTTAGTCGGACATCCTTAGTGCTGCCGCAGAGGCGGGAGAGGCTCCTGACACTGCTGCTGCACTGGCCAGCCATGAGCCAGCTTCTGGCTGAGCTGCACTTCCCCTATGGAAGCACACTGACCACCAGGGGGCAGCTCCTGCATTGAGCATCTGCCCCCTGGTGGTCAGTGTGCACCATAGCGACCGTTGTTTCCAGTCGTTCTGCTGTTAGGATCAATTTGCATATTACCCTTTTATTATATAGGAGGGTTGTATACATGAAGATGAAAGCTATAGAAGCAAAAAAATGTAATAAATCAGTTTTGTAGACAAACTATGACAGACTCTCAAATTTATTAGTCTTACAATTCCATACTATTTGCACTTCAAAAATTTTGTGAAGAGGAAATAAAATCTCCCCTCTGTTGGTCTTACCCATTAGGGGTATGGGTAGCCCAAATCACTGCAATGACCTATCTTTTATAAAAATCAAAAGAGGATTTATTTATATGTTAGTCTCCAGTATATGTGGATCTAATAACAAGGTTCACAATGTAAATGTTAAAAACGCAGCAGGTTTGGACTTAAAAGGAGGTGATGCTCCTCAAGGAAGTTTTAAGATTAGTTATATATAACTTCATTTTTCTTAAGATTATTTTCAATTCAAAATCCTATTTTGATTTATGTTTTTCAAATTTCATTTTCCCTCTCTCATTTTGTGACATTTAAGATTCTACTCTTAGGCAGCACTCAGAAAAGTAATTTTGGTTAGGAAAGAGGGAAAAGTAAAAAAGATTCATAATATATAGAGGAGCAAACAAGTGTAAGCTAAGAAGAGGAACAATTATAGTTATGACAGGAATGAGGGAGGCACCATTCACATATATAGGGATTCTTCATATCTTACTATTTAAAGGGCCTTCCAAGCATTTTGAACTTTGAATAGCCCATAAAATATCCTCTCCAATGTACCTAGAATATTTAGATATAAAATTACCTTAGGGCCATTTGCTGTAATGAACTGCCACTGGGGAGAGACATCATAAGATCGGAGATTGTTTGAAGTAAGCGATGAAATGTATGTGGTAAAGGATGAGCGGCTTCACCTGCAATCACTATATCTGAGAGTGGATGTTCACATACTCTTGTATCTTTGTCCTGAGACAGAAATTGAAAGCAAGTTGACTAGTTGTATTGAAAGGAATTTCCCCCACAAAAGCATCTTATGTATACTTAAAAGTATTGTGTTACTTTCAAATACTCCTGTAACAGAAATGTAAACAACAAAACCAAACCATACCCAAAACATACATTAAGATTGCACGTGAAAAAATAAGATACCTAGGAATAAACTTGACTAAGGAGGTAAAAGACCCGTACGTGGAAAACTAGAGGTCATTGAAAAAAGAGATGGAGGAAGACATAAACAAATGGAAGAATATACCGTGTTCATGGATTGGTAGAATCAACATCATTAAAATGTCCATACTACCCAAAGCAATCTATAGATTTAATGCAATCTCCATTAAAATACCAATGGCATATTTCACAGACCTAGAACAAACTCTGCAAAAATTCATATGGAATAAAAAAAGACCCCGAATAGCAGCAGCAATCTTGAGAAAGAAGAACAAAGTTGGAGGGATCACAATACCAGATATCAAGCTATACTACAAATCCACTGTTCTCAAAACTGCCTGGTACTGGCACAAGAACAGACATATGTATAGACCAATGGAACAGAAGAGAGAACCCAGAAATCGACCCAAACCATTATGCTCAATTAATATTTGACAAAGGAGGCAAGAGCATACAATGGAGTCAAGACAGTCTCTTCCATAAATGGTGTTGGGAAAATTGGATACATGCAAAAAAAATGAAACTAGGCCACCAACTTACACCATACATAAAAATAAACACAAAATGGATAAAGGACTTAAATGTAAGATGAGAAACCATAAAAATCTTAGAAGAAGTCACAGGAAGTAAAATAGCAGACATTTGTTGGAGCAATATCTTTACAGACACAGCTCCTAGGGCGTGTCAGCATTTTGAAAAACCCTAACTTAACTCTGGTGCCATGTCACATATAGAAATTTTTTGATATTTGCAACCATAGTAAAACAAAGACTTATTTTTTGATATTTATTTTATATATTTAAATGCCATTTAACAAAGAAAAATCAATCAAAAAAATGAGTTTGTGTGTCACCTCTGACACGCATGTCATAGGTTCGCCATCACTGTCCTAGGGCAATGGAAACTAAAGAGAAAATAAACAAATGGGACTATATCAAAATAAAAGTTTCTGCACAGCAAAAGAAACCATCACAAAACAACAAGAAAGCCCACTGTATGGGAGAACATATTTGCCAATGTTATATCCAATAAGGGCCTAATCTCAAAAATTTATAGGGAACTCATACATCTTAACAAAAAAGAAGATAAACAATCCAATAAAAAATGGGCAAAGAACTTAAATAGACACTTTTCGAAAGTGGACATATAGAAGGCCAAGAGACTTATGAAAACATACTCAAAGTCACTAATCATCCGAGAGATGCCAGTCAAAACAACAACGAGGTACCATCTCACACCTGTCAGAATGGCTATCATCAACAAATTGACAAATGACAAGTGCTGGAGAGGACTTGGAGAAAAAGCAACCCTCTTGCACTGCTGGTGGGAATGCAGACTGGTACAGTCATTATGGAAAACAGTATGGAGTTTCCTCAAAAAATTAAAAATGGAACTCCCATTTGACCCAGTAATCCCACTTCTAGGAATATATCCCAAGAAATCATAAACACCAATCAGAAACACCTATGTTCATAGCAGCACAATTTACAATAGCTAATATTTGGAAACAGCCTAAGTGCCCATCAGCAGATGAGTAGATTAAAAACTGTGGCACATCTACACGATGGAATACTACGCTGCTGTAAAAAAAAAACACACAAAAAAAAACCCTAACCAGTTTGGCTCAGTGGATAGAGCGTCAGCCTGCGGACTCAAGGGTCCCAGGTTTAATTCCGGTCAAGGGCATGTACCTTGGTTGTGGGCACATCCCCAGTAGGGAGTGTACAGAAAGCAGCTGATCGATGTTTCTCTCTCATCGATGTTTCTAACTCTCTATCCCTCTCCCTTCCTCTCTGTAAAAAATCAATAAAATATATTACAATAAAAAAATAAAAATCATCATTCTCCCCTTTAAAAAAACAACAACAACTCCTATCACTCGAAACAGCATAGATGGACCTGGAGAGCATTATGCTAAGCTATATAAGCCAGTCAAAGAAAGACAAATATCACATGATCTCACTCATCTGTGGAATATAATGAACAACATAAACTGATGAACAAAAATAGATACAGAGACAGAGAAGCATCAAACAGACCATTAAACTTCAGAGGGAAGGCAGGGGAAGGTATGGGGGGGGGTAAGAGATCAATCAAAGGACTTGTATGCATGCATATAAGCATAACCAATGGACACAGACACTAGGAGGGGTAAGTGAATGTGCTGGGAGGTTGGGGTGGCTGGGGAGAGGTCAATGGGTGAAAAAGGAGACATATATAATACTTTAAACAATAAAGATTGAAAAAAGAAAGATTAATCATGTTTGTATTATTTGTAGGAATGAAAACCACATAAAAGTATCTATTCTGGTGTAATCACAAATCTATCAGCAGAAGAAATGAGCTATTCTTCTCTTTGAGCCTCACCCAGATTGCTGAGCCAAAGACTTGTGAGCCAATAAAGTAGTTGTTTTAACTCAGTGAGTTTTGCGGTGGTTAGTTACGTAGGGATAGAATGCTGTTACAGGTATGTAACAATCTCACATTGTAACTGTGTATTTTTTCTATTTTTCCTTATAGTTCTGTCAATTTTTACTTATTTCTTAAAGGCTTTATTAGGCACATACATGCTCAAAATTAATCTTTTACAATTTTGTAGACAGCCTCTTTATCCCTCTTAATAATTTTTCTCGAAGTCTAGTTTTTCTGATGTTATCTTTTTTCTTACTTTTAATCTTCCTGGATCACTGTTTTGGATGTGATACTAGTGTTTTTTTTTATTCTCTAACTATTGTGACAGTTTTGATATTTAAATGAAAGATTTAGTCCTCTAATTTTATTCCAGATATGGAAATGAAGCCCAGAGGTAAAAACCAGGCTGGTCCCAGGCTTCCAGTGTCCTAGTTCAATATTTGTCCATTATGCAGGCTGTCTCCAATAAAATCCAAGTCCCTTCAAGACAAACAAACACTGGAATTTCATGTCCCTACACAGAATCAATGCTGATATCTTACAGAATTGTAAAGTAGACTGATCTATGTAATAATGTTGCCCTGTTTATTTAATATTGTACTGTAACAGTTTCTTCCAGTTGATTAATGATAATGATGCTTAGTGAGAAATCAGAATTGACTGACAGCATTTTTGCCAGAGAGAACACTAAGTAAATTTAATATGTTGCTCATAGCATTGAAATTGTATTCTTTTCTTTAGGTTATATAATCTGTGCATGACCTCATGCAAATTATTATACTATCTGAAGGTATTTCTACTGTCCTATAAAAATACTGACAATTAAAAAAACAAAAATCTGTCTTACTTGTTCTGCATTTTCTTTGTTTGTTTTATTTTCCTCATCCTCTTCTTCCTCTGGTTCCACTGGAGCAGGAGTCAGTGATGCCACAAAATGCCATAGAATATCATGGAGAGAAGTTGTTTGGATGACATTGCATAGAAGCCAGTTGAAAGCCTGAATAAATAATGGTTAAATGAGTTCAAAATGAAAAGAAAATATATAAGTAAAAAAATTCAGGGCTTTTCTTAATTGGAAACAAAGTACTTCCAGATTAAGTGTTTCAAGGAAGACTAGGAAGCCTGACCTTTGTTTCACTGAAATACAATGAACTTGAAATAGTCACAAATTTTGGTCCTAATTTAAAAAACTAATAATAATAGAAAAAATAATACTTATAAAATGCAATACCGAAACACTTTTTTAAACCACATTTTATTTTAAAAATTTGTCTTAATTTACTCAAACACATTTTTCCCCCCAGCTTGCATTTAGGATCAACATAGACCGTTTCTCAAGCTCAACACGAGCTACCATTTAATTAAATATATTTATTTGTTCCCATCAATAAAGCAGTAGGTTATCATATGTGTAATAAAGAAAAAAATTTACTCTATGTAAGTCTATGATATTCAGCAATCCTATGATTTCCAGAGAACAGAGACTCAGATAAATTATAATTGTTAGGTTTATAACTCAAAAGCATATTTATCCCCTTTGCATGATCATTCTAACTGAAATAACACTGTGATGACAAAAACTTTTTCAAAAAAGATAATACAAGGATTCAAATAATAAAGCAATGTAGAAATAAATTTCTTTAGAATGCTTACATATGGAACTCTAAATTCATTTCTATTCATAAACTTAAGAGTTTAATTTTGATGGGAACATTTGATATTTTCAATTGGCTAATGTCTCTTAACTTATTGCAATTTCTGTTTGGTAAAAAGGTGACATCATTAAATAGAATCATCACATGATTTGTATGATCAATGAATCAATAACCACGCTGATGTATTCATACCTCCATAGCAAAAACTCGACAAGCAGATTTCCTTAGGGCCTGTTTCATTGCTATTTCAAGACCTTCTAGATCATGATGCTGTATAACAAAAGCTAAAACTGGCCATTGGAAATTTCGTTCTCCTTTGGAAAGAGAGCTGTGGGCTGAGATTAGCCGGGAAAGCTCAGGAGATGGATGTCTCAAGAGAGAAGAACCAACTTCTATTAAGAAAAAAAGGTATTAATTTTCATAGGCAATACATCAGGTTAATATACTTAAGATTATATTTAAAAATAATAGCATCTAACTTATTCACTTTAGAGCTTTGGGATTTTTTTTTTCACTTCACATAAATCACAATGACTTAAATATTTCTTGAGGCTTAAAAAGATTAAATATCTTACTTCCCTAAAGTCATACAGCTATTAAGTTGTAGGGGGTAAGTTTTGAATGCCGGGTTGAATCTAAAGTTCATGCTTCGAAAACACTAAACACTAAGTGATTTTTCTCCTTAAATGAAATCTGTATTTCATCCCCAACATTTTCTAAATGCTTTGTAATGAATATGCCTCAATAAAAGCTCAAAAATATTTGTTAAATGAACATAGAAATCATTGGGGGATGCTCAGTATTTTTCTTGAAGATCTTCAATAAGATAAAAAGTCATCTACCTATAAATATTAAGCCATATCTTCATTTTACTAGTGATCTACCTAATAACCATATTATCTCTTCTCTTGGTTTTCTTTCTTTACTCTTGGGACAGAGTCAACCATCCCCAATTTGGGTCTTGATACCAACTCCTCCAGATTACCTGACTTTTTTACTGATTAAGAGTTTCAAAACCACAAATTTTATTCTCTTAGCTGTAAAGAGTTTAAGCTTCTATTGGGAGGGAGAAGATAACTGTGAAAGTATAAGTCACTGGAATTGCTTGTTCACTGAAGCTTAGTTGAAGGGATAATGGTAGCAACATTTGGCTTAGATGCCTAACAAGTAAGATTTTAAATGTCAATTTATTCTTGAGTAATCACTGGATGATCTTTGGGTGTCTCTTTAAACTGAGATGCAAAATTTATGCCCTAGCTGGTTTGGCTCAGTGGATAGAGCATCAGCCTGCGGACCAAAGGGTCCCAGGTTTGATTCCAGTCAAGGGCACGTACCTTGGTTGCAGGCTCCTCTGTCCGGGGCCCTGGTCAGGGCCCTGCAGGAGGCAACCAATTTATGTGTTTCTCTCACATTGATATTTCTCTCTCTTTACCTCTCTCTTCCACTCTCTCTAAAAATCAATGGAAAATTATCCTCAGTGAGGATTAAAAAAAACCCACTACGAAACAAAATTTAGAGAGGCACACTTAGAGCCATGCTACATAGAAGGAATGTCTACCACAATTTAAAATTAATTCATTTCTTTCCCTTCAAATATTGAATATTAAAAAATATCTGTGCCCTGCCAGTGTAGCTCAGTGGGTGAGCATCGACCTATGAACCAGGAGGTCACTGTTCGATTCCCAGTCAGGGCACATGCCAGAGTTGTGGGCTCAATCACCAGTAGGAGGCATGCAGGAGGCAGCTAATCAATGAGTCTCTCTCATCATTGATGTTTCCATCTCTCTTTCCCTTTCTCTTTCAAGTCAGTAAAAATGTATTTTTTAAAAAAAGAAAAAAATATCTGCAAATAAAACTATTTGGGTTATTCAATTTTCCCTTTTTATCTTTATACTTACCAGTGTCTCCACTGTTAACTCTTCTTCTAGGAATGGCTTTAACTCGTGCAGGTAAAATGGAGTGTTGTTTATCATATTCAGAAGCAACAACTGAGTATGATCTTTGGAAGACAGTTCTCTTTGCAAGATCAGTATCAGTTATGGGACTAGTTTCCAAACTGCAGATAAAATAAGAGGACCGACTGATAAAAATTTAGGTGAAAAAGTAAATGAAGAAAAACTATATTTAGTTTATAATAGTGTAATCAAATATGTGAACCTGTATTTCATGTGAAAAAACACAAATTCAAAGCCAACTTAATATTCTCTCTTTAAGTAGTGTAATGAGAGGCAAAAAACTAGTTTTTAGCATTGCAGTTATATTATAGTTAGAACAGTCTATATGAGAACTTAGTGATTTTCATTCAGGTTAAAATAAACTAACAATTTTTTCTATTAACTATACCACCATTAAAAAACACTTGTAAAGTTATTAAGATGGTTATATAATTTCCTTTATGCGGCATTTTATTAAAAAGAGAAGTAGCTTCCCTTCCTTTTCCTCTAAGACAAATTTACAAACTGTTCTTTTCATTTGTTCTTTTTTTCTGTCACTTCATTCCAAATTGTGACATTTTTGCTCATCTTGAGTTCTGGAGTTATTTCTTTTCCATCATTCAAGCCATGTTTGAATCTTATGTCCCTCAGTAAATCTTATATATTTTCTAGTTAGTGGCTAACCCCCTGGCCATTTTCTTAACTTACCACCTCTCTAAGTGTGTGTACGTTCTTATTTGAATGGACTATAAACGTACATAACTGACTGGGGTTAATGTGCCTAGATGTCGGTTTGGGCTGCTTGATTCCTGAATGACCAGGGTATAGGGATATGTTAATTTAACTTTTCCTACAAAATACTTCATTTATCTACCTTGTTTCATAATCATTGTCAACATTATTCAATTCCACATAGCTAACTGAAATCTTTGACTAAATGTATCAGCTTCTCAATTGAACTGTCAGATTATCCTTGCATGTTTACCATGTCATTCCTCTTTTTAAAAGTCTTAGTGGTACCCAGTTCCCTCTGTATTACATTTATATACTTCTATTCAGTTTCCAAAAAGCACTTTATTCTGATACTACTATACCTAATTGGGGGTGAGTGGGTAGGAGAAAATTGTAAGCAATATTTCAAGAAGTTCAAGGTTTATTTTCAGTGCTTCCTCTCTCATGTAACTTTCCCTAAGTACTGCCTCAAAGTGACCTTTCTCTAGTCTGGTTTACTACAGCACTAAATGACATCATATAATGGGAAGTTTTACTATAACTTCATTAGTGGTTTTTTCCAACTAGTCTGCTTCTGCTATCAAAGACCTTGTACCTTACTTCATGTATGTAAGGCTTTTTCTTACTGCTCTAATAGTTAGTAGAGCTGACTCAATGTCCTTTTTGAGATGGAAGGATGTACTAAAAAACTTCTAGACCATTCTTTTCCAGCTGTCATTCTTCCAAACCAAACACTGGCTATTCAACAGAGAGGAGAGAACCCAAATACCTTGGTGGCATAGACTTCATATTGCTTTCTGGCTCTTCAAATACATTAGGACTTGCATCAGGAGTTACTGATATGTACGGGGCAGGTACAGATGTTGAACGGAGATATCTCATTTCATCCTGAAATAGGTTGTCATCTTGATAGCCCACAAAATTTTCATGATGATGCCTACATTAAATCAAACCCAGTAACTTTAAGTATGAAGGCAATACAGACAGTTTCCATTTTCAATCTCCTTCATAAAAGCAAAAGCAGCACATTTAAATCTATATGAGTGAAGGACTAAACTAACCACAGATGTAAATAGAAGGATATAAAAGTTGGACAGTTTTACACAGATATTCCAGGTACCACAAACATTTCAAAACCAAAATTGAATTCATTTTCTTTCCTTTCGAGAGCTTTTATCTCTTCTGGTATTTTGGTGAATGATCCCACCAATTATCCAGGGGCCTAAGTTAAAGTATCTCAGTGCTGTAGTAGGCTTAGTCCTCAACCATGACCCATCACTCAGGCCTCAGTACTAGGTTTCCTCTCACAACCATACTTTCTTCTCATTCTCTATCATCACTGCCTTGGTTTAGGCCCATGTTTCTTGCACAGTCACCTTTTTGGTAGGAACATATATGAGTCAAATTTGAGGAAGATATGTAAAATGTTCCATGGGTTGAGGGAATGTCCATTCCCCAGAGAGCTAAAATTATAAAATCCATAATTATGGTATGCTAGCATTTTTACATGTTTTACAATTCTTTCCTTTTCAAACTGGAACAGAGTTGTTAATTTAAGTTTACTAAGTGGTCTGAATGAAGCTAAAGATTTGTTGCTATTGGGATATCTGATGATTTCCATCTTGGTCTCAAATATATTTAGTCTTATACCCTGACATAACTCTGCTACACAAAGAGGATAACATTGCCAAAATGAAATTGTTGGCTGGCAAGTTATGCCGGCAGGGAATTTCTAAAATCTTCGTTACCCAATGAAAAAAATCTGAACTTGGTATATGAAAGGCTGTTTTAGAGTGTCAGTGTTTAAGAGTGTGAAAGTACAGACTGTACCACCCAAATCCAATATGGCATACTATTTATAGGCTCCCCTCCATCTTCAGTAATGCCCTTTCATCCAGTTCCCACATTAGTAGCTGAGTGATCTAACTGCAAACGAGTTCATGTATTTCCCTATTTAAGATTCTTCCACTGTTTCCTCTGTGGGGTAAAATCTAACCTTAGCATGGGCGATAGGGCCCCACATTACTGGGTCTTGGGTAACCAATTCTAGTGGCATTTCTATATTTCTCCCAGTAGCCAGTTTTAATAAGCCTGTGAATCCTTAAATGTGTAATGCTATTTCATCATTTGTGTTTTCACACACATGGTTTACTCTGTCAGGAACACTTTCCTCTCATTACCTATTTGATTTAATTCCTATTTATACTTTAAGACTCTTGTAAAGGGTCAGATTCTCTGGTCCTAATCTCCTGGGGAAGATTCAGGAACTCTCCATATTGCATGCTCTAAGAGCATCTTGTACATACTTCTAATATAGTACTGATTATATAATATTTTTAATATTTTATTTACATGTCTTAAATGTCCACAGAGTATGAGCACATGGAAGCCAGAATTTTATTATACTCATCTTGGTATCTTAAAGGTCTAGTACAAAGCTGGTTACCCAGTTGGTATTTATTTAAATAACAGAATGAATAATTTTAAAAAATTAAAGAATTTTTTAGGAAATAGTTTTTTCTACTTTAGCATTGCCCCCTTTTAGCAGAATGAAGTCAGCCTACCAAAGAATAAAAGATAGCTAAAGTCTTACTTTCTAAGACATATTTTTATATGAATAATAATACAAATTGACATAGTATTTTTTTTATTGCTTAAAGCATTACAAAGGGTATTACATATGTGTCCTTTTTTTCCCCACCCTTGACAGTACCCCGGCTTCCCCTACCCCCCAGTGTCTTATGTCCATTGGTTATGCTCATATGCATGCATACAAGTCCTTCGGTTGATCTCTTACCCCCCTCCCTCCTGCCCCCCAACCCTCCCTGGCCTTCCCGCTGCAGTTTGACAATCTGTGTGAGGCAGCTCTGCAAGTCTTACTTTCTAAGACATATTTTTATATGAATAATAATACAAATTGACATAGTATTTACAAGGTTTTTTTTTTTAAAAAAACACACCTAGTACTTTCAGGTGTGTCCCTACCAGTCAAATGCTGGTCAAGGCAACTCAGAATATGAATTCCTGGAGGTCTCTTTATTCTATACAATGTGTTAATATAGCATGGATATTCAGAACATGACATTAGTTAATCAACAACAGCTGTTAATCACAAGCGATTAAATAAAAAACTCAATTGTATTACCTAGCTAATGTCTGCAGGTAAAGACAAGGCATTTTAACAGGAAGATCCTCAGAAATGCCCTCTTTCACGCTGGGAAGCTGAGACTGGAATGGCTTTGCAGGATAACACAGAATGCTCGGCTCAGCTGCACTGCTCAGAGACAGCAGGAAGAGTGCATTTGCTTTAATCACCTGGTGAGCTTCCATAGTGGGCAAGGCACGAGGAGTCTTGACTTGCATTGGCTTCCTCCTAGATTGTTTGACCTGGCAACGGAAAATGTGTAGTGGTCTTTTCCTACTTATATTCAAAATCTTATTTCATAACCTAAGTATTTTGAGTCTGTAATACAAATTATTAAGCACTTGTAGAATCATTTAAAAATAATAACAGTGACTACCAAAACAACATTCACTTCATGCTTGTCCTGAACTGATTGAAATGATTTTATGTTGAAGATAAACTATACATCTCTTATGTCCTTGGGAAAATTAAAAAGCTAACTAGTAATATCTAAATGGAATTATTTTAAAAAAAGAATCAATAATCTTTCTCTGTGTGTACATATTCAGCAAAAATTTTTAGTCAGGTGTAGCACTATTGTGAATGATCTTGAGTTTCCATGAGTTCTACAACACAATTAGGGATTAAGAAAAAGAGAGAGGAGATAAAGAGTACAAACAGAAAAGGAAAAAGGAAAAGAGGGAAAGTTGAGAGAGAGGGGAAGGTGAAGAGAAAAGCTATGTATATATGTAGAATTACATAATAAACATCTGTTAATAAGGCATATGTGCCACAGGCTAGTTGTCTTGTGCTATCATAGATATAATTTATTTTTGTAATAAAAATAGCTGGCCTAGCACAAATATTAAATTTGTATATTAGTCCAGTTATAAAGCTGGTCTTTCATTGAATTTATGTGGAGTTATCTGATGTAATATGATCATAAAAATATTTTTATAAGGTTTATCCTTATCATTAACAGTATAACCAGGACAGAATAAAAATACCTTTTCCCTTGCAGCAGCCTGTTTTTCCCGGAGGTATTTTTCTCTGCAGCGATCACATACCAGATACCAAGTGCTTCCTCCTATGCCACCATCACCACAGTTACCAGCCCATCCTCCACAAAAATGCCCAATGCTATTGTAACCTTGTCCACCAGCATAACGGCCACAACCTTGAAACAAGAACAAAGCAAGTGACCTTAGTGGTCTGATCCTTGCAATTTATACATTAATGACAGATTTACCTTCTCAAGTAAGCAAAATACTGAAGCAAGTATCTCACTTTTTTTTATGGCTATTAACTATGTCAGAAAAACTGATTACCAAAAAGTAATCAATTAAATGATAGCTAAAATAGTCCATACAGGCAGATGGAAAGAAATATACAATGTGCAATCTGGGTACATTTAGATTTACGTAAGTATGCCAATAAAATTAAACAAAAGAGGAATAAAATATTCTGTAAAAATGATATATTTTAAGGAATCACATATTTTATAAAAGGTTTCAGGTATAATATATAGAAAGAGAAACCTTTTAACCAAACTTGTAATGGGTAAATCTTGGAATACTAATCAATTGTTATAGAAATCCTTACATTTAACTAAAATACAGTCCTCTGATAAAACAGTTGATATCACTTCCATAGGAAAATGCCCCCACTTCCCTAAATCAGTATAACATAATTTAGTTTGCAATTTTGAGCAGGAAAACCTGAAACCAAAGTAAACCTCATACTGGGATCTTTCCTCCGTGTATGGACACGTCATGATTTCTACTGTGTGACATACCTTAACAGCAAGATTTGGGTAACACAAAACATTTAAAAAATAAACAATGTTTCAAAATGTAATATATTAAAATAAAATAGTACTAAATTGCCTTACCTATATTTCACAAAAAAACTCCTAAGTTATAAGATACTATAAATTCTGAGCCAGTTTCTCTGTATTTTAACATAATTTATAGAACATTTCAAGTTAAAAATACCTATTTAGTATTTTTACGAAAAGTACTTATATATGTTTAATAATATCATTTACCTGGGTGAGCTTGTCTCATATGGTACGTCACTGGGTATGGATGTGACTCTCCACACAGCTCACAGATGGTATCTTTCTCTGGTCCTCCCACTGCCAGCTGGGCCATCTCACCAAATAAATTACCCCTGGGCCGAACTTCTGCCTTTTCTTTTTTCTTTTTTTCTTTTTTGGCCTTCTTATTCTCTTTTTCACACTCTTTCTTTTTAAGGACTGCACAAGAACCAGGACTTGGAAAAATCATGTTCTGGGAAGCTGCTTTGATAGTAGCCAAAGAGATGTCTTCCCAGAAAGCCACTAAATGTTGTAAAGTTAAGGGAAGAGGAGATTTAGACTTCATTGGGTGGTGCATGGACATTTCAAAAGTGGCTTCAGTTTTCCCATCCTCACATTTTTCATGCAGAGGTGGCTCCTTAAGCATAGACAACACCTTATTTTTGTTGATACTACCCATTTTAGATATATCTGGTCCATGAGGTGCAATATTAAACATATTCAGAGCAGATGATATTTCCAATGAGTGTCTATTTTTTAACTTGGTTTCCTTTTCTTCTGTAGGTTGTTGGCTGTTTAAACTACTTCTTATAGGGGCATGTTCTTTGGAAAGTTCAGGATTAAATTTTAAGAAAGAAGAACAAGCCATTGCATCGTGCACTATGCCTTCGTGCCACAGGAAAGAGGCAAAGACTGCTCTGGCACACTCGGCCACAGAGGGAGACATGGCTTGTTTGGCTGGCTCTAAAGGTTTGGCTCCGTCTCCTTTGAAGAGAAAGCTGGATTTTTCCTTTTTGGGCCTGGAGTGTCTATTAGCACATTTTCGACTTATTTTGGGGGATGCTCTCATGTCCTGTTCCTCTTTCAGTGGGGCTTTTCCTATGCTGAAATGAACTTTATTTGAACCTTCTTCCCCACTCTTAAATTCACTGCTTTCATCACAGGTACTATCTGTTAGACTGTTCGTTTTTAAAGTACTTGAAGTGCAGACTTCAACCACCTCACTGTGAAGGTTTTCTTGTACCACATGGGGAGAAGGAGCTCTATTTTCAGATCCGGGGGAATCTTTTGAATCCTTTGGTACTTGTTTTGGTTTTGGTGATGTTGATCGTCCCCTTAATGGTTCTGTGAGGGGCATTTTCTTCTTGCGGAGGGTATCTGGATCAAGTGTGTAAGAGTCTGATTTGGAACGTTCCCGAGGAGGATCAAGTTTTGTCTTAACAGGAGTGGTACTTTTTTGAGGTAGATTTTTATCATGTGGTGAGGAGGAGCGGGGAGAACTAGCACCAGATGGGCTAGACCGATTGGTTGGGAGAGTCTTTGGTTTAGGAGACGATGACCGAGAACCTGGTCCCGGGGATTCAGCTCTGAAACTAGAAGACACCCTCCCATCAGATTTCAACGTCTGCAAGGTGTTATGGTTGGGGGACAATGACCTACTGTGAGAATCTGACCTCAACTTCGCAGCATCAGACTTCAACATGAGGGATTCACTAGCTGATAAACCTTCGGTGCCCCTTGGTTTCTTTGGATCAGCAGTAGTCCGGCTCATACGTCCATCAGGTTTAACTGATCTGCTGTGCTTGGAGGACAGTTCTGATTTTCCTGATGTAGAGACTGGTCTAGAAGATGTTGAGATAGTTCCTCGGTCACCTGTGTGGTCCATTTCATAGTAAAACTTGTTAATAAAATTACAACTTACTGATAATGTAGTCACTGATTTAAAAAAAACAGAGCTAAAACATTTATATTGCTTGTCACAGACAAAAGACTTGAAAAATAAAGGAAAATATTTTTCATAAAATTTCTATTACATAATTATACAACCATTTCCACCAAAAACAATTTTCATGGATGCAAAACAGACTGAGCAAACAGTAGCTATGTACCAATATGAATTATCCACCATATCTGAACCTCAGCCTTAGAAGAATTAGTGAGAACTTAAATTCAGTGAGAGACTAGAAAGAAAAAAAACCTAACTGCTTTTTTTTTGGAATAAAATATTGGGGGAAAACATATGTGTTTTTTAAATATGAAGTAGTTGAGCTAAATTTCCAGTACAATGGTATCTCCCATCCTTATTAGGGATGTTAATGGTGCAAGTCTTGTTAAATTAGGAAACTGAATTTATAAACACATTTATCATTTTCAAGTCCACAAACAGATACAATTAGGTTAAAATAGAACTGCTAAGGAGACACTAAATTTTAATGCTTGAATTACAACAATTTATAATTAACATATGAATGCCCAAAGGTTACTATTTAATTACATGTAATTCAGGCAGTGTTTATAAAAAGATCGTACTCTAAAAGTTTATTTAGTTTATTAAGCTTAGCTGGTTAGAATTTTGAGCTTGTGTCCCCTTGGAATAAAAGGATCCCAAGAATTAGTTCAAATCTGAATTGTGGGGGACCTTGAAATAAGGAGTCGGGAAAATAACAGATAAAAAGATAAAAGAAAAATATTCTACCTCTTTTATAGTAAAAACTAGATATTTCTACATGGACACCACTGTTTTGGGTATCCTGACCCTCAATCGGTGTATCTCCTTTCTACTATTTCCTGCTTCCCTTTGAGGCATTTGTCACCAGTAAGTGGTACAACCTACAACATTACCTTTCCTCCCTAAAATAAAAATTTCCAGTCTTAGTGCAAGTGATAGTAATTAGTTGTTATGAGAAAAGCAATCTGATTAAAGTGATGCATGTGGTATAAACAACTGAAAATTCATAAATCTTGCTTGCTAGATGTATTTATATATTTTTAAAAAGGGTGCTTAGCAAATTCAAATACATCTGTTAACTGGTTACATTTCAGGTATTTTTTAGGGTAATGTGTTTTGGCTTGCTTGTGTGTGTGTGTGTGTGTGTGTGTGTTCGTGCATGCAGGTGCACATATGTGTGTGTAATCATACTCTAGCTATCTACAGGTCAAGGCAATGTTGCTACAGAATCTGACCTTCTGATGGAAGGTCTGCAAGAACTGTTATTTTTATCTATTACTCTTCACAGATGTAATGTCAGGAATGGGTCCCTGGAATAATAAGTGCTCAAAGAATATTTGTTGAATGAGTAAATGAATTCTTGTTTTCTTAATGTTTCTTCTGCTAGTCCCAAATCTTCATATTCTCCAAAAATTCACTTCTTACAATTATGGCTCCCAAGGCCACAGGGCAGAGGCGACAGTAACTGTTGTTGTGTAAGAGTCGGATGCTTGCAAGTTAAGTAATTCTGATATAACTAAGTATGGCAAACAGCATATTTGGAACATATTTTAATTGCATCATGCCAGTGTTTAAAATAATTACTCATTCTCTGGATGAATAAAAATAACTAAATATACTGCTCTTCAGTTTCTTGTAACTCTTTATTATTCTGTCATCAATTTCATTGATCATATATGTATTATAAAACCAATATAAGAGACTGGGCTAAATTCAGAGGAAAAGTAGTGAAACAAACCACAACACACAAAAAAATAATCCAGATATTTATGCTGTCACAAAACAGATAAATAGATGTTACAAACTTGATAAGTGCTTTCAAATTGTATAAAAGTAGTTTAAGAAATTGCTGCCTATTTTTCTGATGTAGTAATAGAACCAAAGAGAAAATTTTGTAAACGTATATACTGAATCCTTGCCACTAATTTTGAGTGTGTAATATTTGGAGTACTGTTTTTTTGTAATCTGATAGTGGACAATGCCTTCATAATCACATTTATTTCAGAAGCTGAACCATATATATTTAAAAAGAATATATCATTTGCTATGTGTGGTAAAACTATATGGTAACCGATGTTTATCTTCATTTGGGTTTCAAAAATTTTGAGGCAGGTAGTAAATATTACTAAAATTTGTCATGTTATGGCTGCTTGAAAGATCAATAACATAAACAAATATTTTGATAAAAATCTTTAGGTCACATAATACTTTCACATTCATCACTTAACTAATTCATCATTAAACTAATTTCATGATTATATTTGTCATACGTAAATTTAAATGATAATAGGCAAAATATTTTCTAACCTCAAAAGAATTCTGGAAAAAAATACAGGACAGAATAGAAGTTTAGTACATTCAAATAAAATTAGTAATCATGTTTAATCTTAAGTATTCATTCAATAACGACCTGCATAATTTTTTATGCCAAAATTGTAAATCCCCAAATTATATGATCCATACTATAACAATATCCTACACTGTAACATTACATGCATAATATGTAGTATTTATCAGGTTACATAACAGTATATATTATAGAGATCAGGTCTGATAAAGATCAGCTTCTATAATACTATTTAATATACTACAGTATTATAAAGTATCACTGTCAACTATATAAAGAAATGTAAAACTGTTTTATCAATTTCTAAGAAAAAAAGAAATCTAAATATTACCTTTAAAATGTATACAGTATATTAGCCATTGCTACAACACTTTTTAATAACATTTTCCTAAAATACAGGACTTTAAAAGTTTAAATATTACTGTCACACAAAAATATGTAAGTAGGCAGCTATAGTATTTTAGAAAACTAAAACGTTTTTAAATTGTCTGAAATTTTATCAATTGTCCATATAGTTTAAGCATTACTAAGTTTAAATTTTTAAAATGAAGTGGCTAACAAAATACTATAAGGAAGACTCATGTCAGACAGGACAGGTAACTGATAACTAAGTTAAGCTAAAAAAAAATTAACCTAATTATCTGTGTTTCAAATAAAAGACTAAAGTAGGAAAGTAAATCCTGCATTATATAACAGAAAAATGACTTAAAGACTAACTTGTTACAAAATATATTATATTCTTATAGGTCACAATGTGCCTCATGACATATGCAGGTGGGACAAAAGTAGATTTACAGCTGTTTGTATGGAAAAGAATATAATAATTAATAATAATACAAGAATAAACTCTCTGTTTCTTGTACTCACAACGAGAAACCTATTTTTGCCCCACCCTGTATATTCCATATTTTTCTGAAAATAATGATTTTACAATTCCTCAAATCAGGCACTTCTTTCTATATACTATTTTATTTTTTAAGACCTCATACAGATTTGAAATTAAATAAGAGTAATATTTAGCCTACAGATATTGTCAACATGCATATCAGTCAGGATAATCGCTACTATAGTATTGAGCAGATATATCACAAATTGATCCCAAATATCAAAATTTAAATAAAATAATAAACTTTAATCTTAAAAAATGGAATGGGATGAACATGACTGAAGTGAACTAAAACGTCTTCATTGAAACCGCCTATGTTCATTAAGAATGGCCCATCCACGAATGCACGCATACCCACCCTTCAGTTTGTGAGACAGAGATGAAAGAGCAGAGGCAGGCCCAGCTACACCATAATTTTTGTAAATGCGCTCACGAGAAGCAAGGTTGCGAGATGGAGATTCTACAGTGAAAAACAGTGGCAAAGAAGCAGCACAGATTCAATGGAAAAAAAGTTAGCAGAGAACACAAGCAGCAACAAAGCATTTCAAATGGTATGCATGACTTAACTATTAATAAAGTTTATTCAGCTAGATTTTTCAACAAGTTTATATTTTTCTAAAATTCAAACAGAAAACATAGGTCAAATTAGTTAATTTAGATTAATAATGATAGCTTTAAATGTGGTAATTTAAAAGTAAGGCTTATAGCTCTGATAAATCAAATCTGAGCATTTCTTTTTAGATTAATACTACTTAAACTCGCTTTTCTTTATGGACCTGGAGAGTACTATGTTAAGTGAAATAAGCCAGTCAAAGAAAGACAAGAATCATATGATGTCACTCATATGTAAATCTAATGAACAAAATAAACGAACAAAAACAGAATAGTCTCATAAATAGAGAACAAATGTCAGAGGAGAGGGGGGTTGTGGGGTGAAAAGGTGAAGGAATTAAGGAAAATAAAAACAACCCAACTCATAGGCACAGACAACATCATGGAGATTACCAGAGGTAAGGGGGTTGAGGGTAGGGGTTGTAGACAATAACAAAGGGGAGATAATAGTGATGGAAGAAAATCTGAATTGGAGTGGTGAACATAAAATACAGTAGACAGATGATGTATTATATAATTATAACTGAATCTATTGTCCCCTTGATTTCTGTAGGGACATGTGACTATGATGATTCCAATATGTACCTCAGAATGGACTCAAGTTAGCATTTTTGATTAATTATTTTTCTTAGTTTATCTTCAGTGAAAAATGTTAGTACCAATCCAAATACTTAGTGTTTTTTTTATAGATCTTATTATTGAGGTATCACACATTTTTTATACATTTCACAACACAAACACAGCAAAAGAAATTACAAGTCAATGAAATATGTTAAACAGCCATGATTTACCATGCCAAAAATGAAGTAAAGTTAAATAATTTATCTTTTAAAAAGAATAGAATCTTAAAAGTATAGTCTTTTAAAAGCAGTATGCCAAAAATATCTCTATCTAAATCTTTTAAAAAATCCATTTATTTAAAATTTAAATTTTAGCAATTAAAATAAATATAAGTAATTGAGCTGAAATATATTCAGGTAATGAGATCACTTTTTTAATATTATTGAAATAAAAAAAACTGGATACAACATGTATTTTGCTCAAAACAGAAAATAGTTGACTGATTCATTATTACGGCC